AGGAAAAGGCCGCAGAGCCATATTTATCCCAGAAATACAGGCAAATCAGGGTGATCAGTATTGGAACACAATCTATAATCAAATGATTACAGAAAAGAATAGTTTATCCAGAAAATGAAGGGTTAAAAGTAGCAGACTCAGTATGTCAGCCACATGCTTTCAAATTGCCAACTCAAATAATGAAATGTCAAAATTGTAACTTTTTGTCTCTATTCACTCATTATTAAATAAGCTATAACTTAAAGTGCGGTTTTATTAATATATTTACACATTTATTTTGCAGATAGTGAAATGCGGTGTTAGAAATTTACAGCATTTTTTACTGAAATGGTAAGAAATAAGCCTTTTTTTACAGTATCATAAAGACTAGCAAATAAGAAAAAATTAAATTTATAAAAAGATGAGTTTAACAAGCCTTTTTGTCATGTAATATATCAAAATGTTCTAAACCACAAAGTCCTCACATGATTTATCAAACCTGATGTATAACATTCATCTGGTATTACATTACTTTTTTAAAAAAATTTAATTCCACTGGAATTCTGCCATTCAGAGACAAAAGTCATAGTAAACATAGACTATATATGTCATAAGTGTGGTGATCAACATCTTTCATCTTGTGTCAAAAGTTTTGTCAAAAGTGGCGCCATCTTTATGTCAGACATGATACTAAGAACTGGTTTTCTTTCTCTCATACAAGTAATGAGGAACGCTGCATGTAGAAAGACATAATAAAACTCCTTTGCTTTGGCTGGCCAGAAGAAGTACCTCTAGTACTTTCTCAAACTGTCAATATCTAACTCCTTGTTATGTCCTCCCTGATATAGAAAAATCTGCCTGTACATGGATGAAAGCCATAGTTCACACTGCTGTTTTCAATACGCTGCAGTTTCATTTCCAGAATTTTGCACTACCTCTCAGTCTGAAGGAAAGAAAGGCTAGATTTTATTACAACAGTGTTAATAAGTTTTTTGCAAAGCAAATGGATATAAATTTATCAAAATTAGTGTGTTCTCCAACAAAAAAAAAAGCACCGAGAACTGCATTCATTTTTCAAAATGAAAACATCAATACCTTGTTAACTTTCATTCATTTATCAATCACATAAGCAAGTCGTCTTTGCTTGCTTTATTCAATCAAATGAATTCCACATTCAAATAGGGAATTTACAATACCAACATATTAACTGTCTACTAGTACATGGAGTAAAACACGCACCCCTTTGTCTTTGAAGCCGCTTTCTTGGCTGGTTTTTCTGGCTGCACACCACTATCAGCTGCCATGTTGTCGTCTGCTTCAGTCTGCTGAGTTGTCTTCAACGTCTTCTTTATGTTAGCAATCTAAACAATACAGGCACATGACTGACAACCTTATAAACAATACAAGCACATGACTGACAACCTTATAAACAATACAAGCACATGACTGACAACCTTATAAACAATACAAGCACATGACTGACAACCTTACAAACTTGAATTTCACATACTCATTATTTTATGTTAGCAATCTAAACAATACAAGCACATGACTGACAACCTTACAAACTTGAATTTCACATACTCATTATTTTTTGTTGTGTTCAGATATATTATTACAGACAATACAAATACATCTGGAATACTGTCAGCTTTTAATATTAGAATATCACACACATTGCATGCTCACACACATAAACACGCACATTTTCTAATGTGATGAAAGTTCAGCAATCTAAACCATACAAACACAAATCCATAATTCAGATTAAAAAGTGGATAAGTGAGAAGTGGGCCAAGGAAAACTACAAAACTAGTTCAAATTATAAGTCCCAAAGAGGGAATTTTTAATCTATGAGAAAAAATTCTTAAACAACTGCTAAAAAGACTTAACTTTGAAAAAACTGTCTTTTTAAATTATTCACTGCCAACTCTTATTCAGTGAACTTGGGGCGGTACTAGATATGTTGCAGACTCTCATAATGATTATAACCATGAAGAATCGCTTACTTCTGTCTCCATTTGTTGCACCAGTTTGATGTTATATTCTTTTTTCTGATTGGCTCTCATGATCTGCGAGTCGATTCCTTTTAGAACAATGTCACAGCTGTCGCACCTGGAGAAGTCAAGCAGTTAGAGTACAGAGCAAAATTCTACAGTAATATCCTTTGAGAAATGCAATCAATTCTCTATTATTATTAATACAAATCATGCTGTTCACCTTTTTTCCAATTTGCAGACATAAGTTAAAACAAAAAGTCCCTTCCTGGTGCAACTTTTTAAAGGTTACTTTTCTAGTTATAGAAAAAATCATGACATCTATCAAGTTCTGCATAGCAATCATCAAAGAAGGCTAAACTAAGAAGGTGGCACATCAGAAAAAATATCACAAGTGAAAGAGAGGTGCACATGAAAGAAAGCTGATCAAAAAAGTCAATTACAAAGCTTTATGTCAGAGAGGGAAAATGAGAGAGAAAGAAAGAGAGAGAGAGAGAGATGTGATGCCTGCACACATACCATTCTTGTAATACGTTGACCATCTCTGTCACTTGCTCTTCTCTTATGTCCCGACCTATGGCATAGTCTACTTCTAACTGCTGGTTCTTCTGGTCTAGCTTGCCCCGCACGATATCAGCATAGATCACTTCTATTATCAAGTCCTAGAACATCCAAACATATCAGAATAGTAAATCTCGCCGACTATAAACAAAATAGATTAGCTATGTGTCCTATGAAAGCTAATACCTAAAAAAAGATGATTTGCAGGTTCTCAAAAGTAATCTAAATTCATAATTAAATTCAAATTGATAAGCACGATCATTATAGATATTTATTGTAACATCTATGAGTAAATATCATAAAAAAGATAAATTGGAAATTATTTCACTTATTGGAATGTTAAATGGTAATTTGATTAAAAAAAATCATTAAAATATAAATTTTAGATTTTAATTTGGAAGGAATTTTCTGTAATCTTAAGTCTTATAATTATAACAATGTACTTGAACAAGTCATATTCACCTCCAACTCACGCAGGTTCTTCATATTTAGCTCTGTTAGAAGGGTTGAATAGGGAATGACCTACAGAAAAAAAAAACTTAATATGACATAAATATTAAATATAAATTATACATACATGAATCAAGTATTAGCACATTACCTGGTCAATTAATGAATTAAGAAACTGATCCATTCTTAAGTTATTATTCCATAATAATTATAATTCTATCAACAGCAAACATGCTTAAAGTATTTTTGTACTATAACTCAACTACATGTATGTACTTATTACCTTCTCTCTCTCTCTTTCTCTCTCTCTCTTACACAAATACAAGTACACACACTCTTTCTCACACATACTTACTTTTGACTTAGTTGCTAAAGCGACTAAGGTGAGATGCCTGAGTTTTGTAAGACTTGCATTCGTTAATTCTGGCAATGTTGCTTTATTTTCTAAAATAGATATAACACATCACTTAATCATAGAAATTTTTATGCATACCTTATGATTTGATACCAAAAAAATGTAAACAGACAATGAAATCATTACCAAGATGGCATAACCTAATTCTTTAAGATAATTCATCTGTAATACCTCAGAATAAATTTGAGAAAAATGTTTGAAAAAATAAAGATTGACTATTAGAATGTCACCCCTTACCTTCATAGTCTTTTACTGTCCCAAATGCAAACAAATTTAACAGGTTGAAATATGCAGCATGTGGACCTTCAGCCAACTGGTGAAATAACATGTGACATTCAATATACTTCAAAAACATTCTTCTTTCCATATCAACTCAATATCTTTTTTTATTAATTTTCCAATTTACCCTCTCAGATACAATGTGTTGCTTATTGTTTACGTTAAAAAACTTTAAAAAATCATCAACAATACTTCAAAGCAAGGCTTTCCAAGAGAGTCGTCCCGCCATCATTTGGAGGGCCATTAGCCTCCAAGGGCAACTGGAGAGTTTACAAAATATTTTGGTTGTTATGTTGGGCTTGCTTGGGTTAGACTGACTTTAAACTGATGACCAAACCACAGGTTCACATTTAGGTCTCCCTGTACCCTATATCCCAGGTCTCCCTGTACCCTATATCCCAGGTCTCCCTGTACCCTATATCCCAGGTCTCCCTGTACCCTATATCCCAGGTCTCCCTGTACCCTATATCCCAGGGAAATCCTGGCTTCAAAGTCTATCATTAATTGAGTGATTCTTGATATCTATAGTTGACTATTAAAAGTTAATTTTTAACTATCAATATAAACAGTCTCAGTGACATTAGAACTGGTCAGAGACTGTTTAGAGTATACTTAAAATGTGCTTAATGTCAGTAAAATAAAATCAGGCAATAAATAAGACTCCTTAATTCATTACTATTAATTTTATAAATTTATTATTATTATTATTATTATGCACAGAGTGTACTAACCTCTTGTATATGTGGCATGGCCAGTAGTTCTCCAAACACATACACGCCTGGCGCCTCTAGTGCTTGCTTCACTAATTCCACAGCGGCGGCTCCTTTGGCGGACTTGGCCAGCAAGACAAACTGTTCCAACGGGTTCACAGAGAGGGGTTTCTCTGTGGGGGCAGCCATTCTGATACTTGATGCTATAGAGAACCCGAATGTCAAAAGACAGCAATATTACAATTTACTACATAATCAAATGTTGTCTGAATACTGGCGACTGTAAAATAAGATACCACAGTGGCAGTGGCAATATTGCAGCAGTCCTTGCGCTCGCCAGCTTCAGTTACGGTTTTCAGATTTGCGACTACTCAATCTTAAAAGTTTGAAATAGATTGCACCATATCAAGACCTTAAAATACCTGTTTCTTAAGACAAACACATCGTACGTCTCCTTACCCTTCACCACACTGCTTGTCATCCGCTGACCTACTTTCTGTTCTCCGTATACTAGAGAGCACCTAGTTTTTCTTTGCAACTCTTCTACCTCACGTGTACAGCTGTGTTTGTTTTCTGTAAAACGCGACACCTGATGATGGGACCCATGCCGTCTTTTAAGACCTGACCAGTCAATGTTGTATGTAGAGGTCTTTGAGGTCAAAAAAGCCAAATGAGCCATCAAGATTTTAGTGTGTCAGAAGGTACCCAAAGCAGTGTTATTTGCAAACTGAACCTCCTGGTCTTGGTCTCAGTACTGTACATGTACAGGTATCTGTAGCATGCAGAGTAAAGACAGATATATTTGAGACTGCATGCCTATAGAAATTGGAAGGACAAGTGTCTGTCATTTAAGATTGACTGTTACAGCTATTATTGATAGAACAATTTTCTCCATGTTTCAGTTTCTGCTGACATTCTGTGTGAGTTTCTTGAAGTGGCATTCCATTGTATTCTGTATGTGAGGCAGATCTATCCACCTGGAGTCTTTGAAAGAAGAAAAAAGTACAATATTCCAGTGCAGGTATAAAATTTCAACCACATACACACATGTATAACACATGCATACTAATACATGCACACAGGGCCCATATACTCAGTATACCCAAGAGGGCCGGGGGTCTTTCTCTGAAAAAGTGGACTTTTTAACACAAAACTTTTATATAACTGGATCAAATTTTACCCAGAGTGGACCCTGTCCTGGTTGGAACCCCACACCCTCCCAAACCTCCTGGCCATGGGCCTGCATGCACACTTGATTTCACACTTACACATTAGACCCTGATTCTGACTTGATGGGAATGTTTTTACCTCCCTCTGCAGAATCCAACCTGGATGCTGTACATATACACTTACCCCTAAGTGCTCAGTGCCAAGCTGGTAGACAGCAGGCACTTTTTATAAAGGACTGGTTCAATTGTCCTTGGACATAGCCAAGCCCATGTCCTCCAGCTCCTAAGGGGGACACTATAACCACACTGCCATCAACACACATCATATCAAAAATATTTTTATTTCACACCAGGTAGCCATCACCTTGAAGTTGTGTATTGATTAAATTTTGAAGATATTTTCACTTCTCACATGATATCTAATCACACTGATGTTGTATATTGATTTAACATAGAAAATGTTTATTTTACTAGGTATCTTATCACCCTGAACTTGTATATTGATTAAATTAATAATTGTTTTCTTTTCCACTTGATATCTCATCATCCCCAAGTTTTATATTGACTAAATTAAAACTGTTTTTATTTCCCACCAGGTATCACGTCACCCGGAGGTGAGCAGTTATATCCAGGAAGTGGTAAAAAGTCTGAGACCATTGCTTCAAAGTAACGAGCTGGAGAAAGTGGTGTTGGTGATCCTGGACGGTTTTGAACGTCCTGTAGAAAGATTTGTCTTCGAGATAACAACTCCACAACAACCCAATATCAGGTATGTTGATTGTTATTGTAACAGCTGCTAACTTACTAATATGTATGTAAATAAGTCAACAATTTCTGAGAACTTGCCTGTTTCTGTTATGCTTTATTTAACATTAATTTGGAACATGTTGGATATGTAAATATGACTGTTAAAGTATTTCCAGGTAATTGTGCTTAAATCTTAAAATCTGCTTTCACTTTGGAACAAACTTGGTTACATTTACCAAATACAATGTTTTATACATAGTACATGATGCATAAAAAAAATGAATTACTGTTGGTTGTGAGCAGAAAGTTAGTTCCAAGTTAGAAATCGTGTATTTTTGAGTAACTAAAAATAGAAGATAAAAAATCTTGAACTTGGATTCTGTTTGCTATATTTTCAGTGATGACAGTTTCTTACTGAGGATAGAGCAGGCCTTGAGGTCATTTATTTTAAAGCTGAATATTTGTGAAGCTCTGCTGTCAGACAAGCCAAAAGGTAACTTGAGATTCTACATGATAGTAATTCCAAGACTGGTGGTTTGTATTGATCATCAGTTTTTAGGCACTGACAATATTTATACAGAAAAAGCATGTCTTAATTTCCCTGTTCAAAATAGGGAAGAGGGTTGGATTTATTATTGACAATGTGATATCCATAAAATATTACAACAAAAGTTAATATGCACATAAATGTGACCATGTGAGTGATTACTTTTACAAGTTAGATCAATTCTGAATTTTGGTATGATACCCAATTCTTGTTCTTTTCAGACTTTTGCCTCAAACTTTGCCCTCCATATTATATGTCATTTAATCCAGCTGATATGTTTTGATTGCTGTAATCTTCAAGTTGTCATGATGCAAATTAGACAAAAAAAAAATTTAATTTATTTTGACACGCTGAATAACTTCTTTTCTTAACTTAAAATTGCATTTTCAGACTGCACATGGACAGTTCAAGTTCACACCAAAGAAAGTGCTGTGGACACCTTACAAAGTCAGCCACTCATAGAGGTAGAATTCTTGCTTAGAAAATAATTAAAAACGAAAAAGATTAAGTTCATTTTAAATAATTTAGCAAGAATACTGTGAATATTATGTGAAAAATGCACTTTTAAGTTTTTATCATAACTGTGTTTTAAATTTTACTACATTTTGGACTGATATCATTCAATTATTTTCAGTTGTTTCAGAAGTTTCTTATTCAGGACATCAGATTTATGTTAAAATGACTGATCCATATTTTTATGCTTGGTATGCTACTTTTTTTGCAGTTTTTCTACTTCTTCATAAATTGTTGTGATTTATTGTGAGGAAGGATGTAACCATGGTAACTGTTATTATTTAAACCAGTCGTTTCCATGGGTACAAGCTGAAGATCTCCAGACCAGCATGGCAGACTCTAGACTAGTGCCACTGAAAGCCATACAGACTGGGCTTGTACAGGTCAGTGACCCCATTTTTATTCTGTTCTTGACCTTGTTCATCATCTTATAATTATACATATTAGGATTTTCATTTTCTGTATACATCATGCATATTGCAGTTATGTTAGGAAACGTTCACAGTGAATTTTTGCTAAGTCAACCAAACTCATTCTGAATAAACCCTTAGACTGGTATGAAGAGTTAAGATACAGTGGGGCCTCTGCTACACCCCAGGTGGACCCCTCAGCTCTGGTCATTGAATCCTTGGTGTGTGTGTGTGTGTGTGTGTGTGTGTGGGGGGTGGGGGGGGGTGAGGGGGGTTCTGGTCCATGGTCCAGTTGTTTTGACCTGGAATGGTTTCAACATCTACAAAGACTACTTTGAACACACATACCACTCTACTTTTCATTTCAAATATAAATAAATAGGCATTGTTAAATGAATGAATACATGACATAAAAAGATAACACTTGTATTTATACATTCTATGTTGGTATATAAAACTATATGACACAATGTTTTTCAGATGCAGCTGTATGCTGAGGAAATTGAAGATAAAACGTGAAGCTTGTCTAAAACAGATGGAATATTTATCTATGATAAACTCCAATGTCTTTGCACTATGGGCTGCTTATATGTAAGATACTGAAGATTCACTTTGATTTCTGAGTAAACTAAAATGTATCTGCTGCCAAGTGAGTCTTCATTGTCATGGTACTGTTTAGCACAAAAATTCATGTGTTAGCACTCCTATTGACGATTCTGATATGTACTGTCTGTGGTAACGCGTTAGCACAGACAGTACATATCAGAATCATCAATAGGATTGCTAACGCATGAATTTTCGTGCTAGGTACTGTTTAGAGCAACTAAATTTAGGATCAGGTGGATGAAGTGATGACCAGAACTGAAAATGTTTGTTGGCCTTTTCAATATGTTAAATGTAGTGTGCATTATACCTGCAGCTGTCCTATTACTATTTACTATTATGCAATTACATTGAATATAAAAGGAAAATGTAGAGCACCAGTGAAATGATAAGATGGAATTGTGTGTAGGTGTGTTTCTTCATGTACATGTTTGTATGTACGTGTGTCCGTAGGCGTGTATGTACCTGTGTGTGTGTGTGTGTCTGTCTGTGTCTTTGTGTGTAATCATCTCCATTTCTTGCCAGAAGGTGGACATAAAAATTGTTAACTTTGTCTTAAAGATGAATTTGCCACCTGTCTCTAGTCATTTTTGCTGTACATTATGCTGGCAACTTATCAAGTTGTAGAATTGTATCATTAGAAGTAAAACGTAGACTAGCTGTATACTTTTGTTGCTATGACCATGTTAATAAAAATAATGGAATATCCACAGTTTGTGAACATTACTTTTATTAAAGTCTGTATTTTTTCATGTTTTCTTACATAAGTAATGTAACAAATAAGATGCATAACAACTTATTTAGGAAAATAACATTTTAATTTATGAAGAATTGAAAGTGGCTGATTTAATAACCACTTTAATTTGGCACAATATTCAACTCCCCAGGATAGCACTTCCTCACAATTAACAAGTCCTCTCTTACATAAATGACTTTTTACTTAAGAGTAGTGTTTCACAAAATCCACATCTCACTGTCGACATCTCCCAAGAACAAGGAAAAAGAATCTATCTGAATGTTTAAAGAATACTTAATATCACTGGTCAGAAGCAGATTTGATGCTTCATGGGCTATTGTCACATCCAACTAGGTTGATTTCTTAGCTTCAGTCAATGTTTTCTGCATATAATGTTTCTCATTTTCTTATTGGCTACAAGTCCTTTGTAACCTCGATTCTTACTGGTTGGATGGCACTTTCCTCCTCCACACACTGCCCACATACAGGACAGGAGTAAGACTGGTCAGCCATCACATTACTCTGGAATAAAGTAAATGTAAACATTTGATAAACTATATTAATAAAACAGGAAGTCCATCACATACAGGACAGGAGTAAGACTGGTCAGCCATCACATTACTCTGAAATAAGGTAAATGTAAACATTTGACAAAGCAGAAAGCCCTTTGATAGCTGGGAATGGATTTATGATTCAGAAAAATGTAAGAGAAAAAATATCATGACCTTACATGATACAAAATACTTTCATTAATATGACTGATCCTCAAAATATGTTATAAGTTCAATATTCAAATATTATATTCAGTGAATTGCAAAAAAAAAATCTTTGAGGTCAACTTGGTTTTCATAAGATTTATCACAAAATTGCATTTGACCTTTTTCAAGGAAATACCACATATCAAATTAGTTCGAATTCAAATGGAATTGCCAAATATGTCTACATCCTAACTGGTGTGGGTTGTTAGTGTCTACATATACAATATAAATACATACCTGTATACAATAATAACAGAACACATGTCTACATCCTAACTGGTGTGGGTTGTTAGTGTCTACATATACAATATAAATACATACCTGTATACAATAATAACAGAACACATGTCTACATCCTATCTGGTGTGGGTTGTTAGTGTCTACATATACAATATAAATACATACCTGTATACAATAATAACAGAACACATGTCTACATCCTAACTGGTGTGGGTTGTTAGGCCAGTGTCCACATATCACACACTCCTTGTAATCTGCTGGACACCTGGGTTGACCACAGGGCTCCCCGGGGCTGGATGGTCTTAACAGGAGCCTTAATGCGGCATTTTTAATTTTTCTGAAGTTGATGAGAGGAAGCATGAAGAATAAAAACTCCTGGAAGTAAAGAAAGAGAAAGTGATAATTATAAATACACAAAGATGTTTTAAGTGCATCTGGTATTTTATCAGTTTTCAAAAGCTTTGCAAATATTAAATATTCATCAACTAAAATACTTGGTTTATAAGAAGCAATATTATGGTATTATCTATTTATTAAAAAATGTTATCACATAAGCAAAAAAATATGTCACTGACCAGAAATGTTCTGAAGGTAAATTTGCACTTTTTAAAAATCAAAAACTGATTAAAGCTTTCCACTGACTTTTAAAAGGAAGAGGGCAAAGGAATCAATATTAATTACTAAATAACAGAAAAAAAATAGTTTAAACTTACTGCAAATCCATGCCATAGCAATTCTCTGCTCATGTAGTCAAAGCTGACCTGAAAACATACTTTTCAACGTAAGATGACATTGTCTATACTAAATTATCAAAACATTCAAAAATTAACAATCAAACACAAACCAATGTGGCAATATGTATTTTGATGGGCATCAAAAAAATCAATTTATGCCCTGCAAACATTCAAAACTGTTTTTGTGCCAACATTCTCCAGTAAGCTGAACACACCTGCCGAGCCTCTTGCATTCTGGGAAATACTGCCTGAATTCCCAGAATTCTCTCTATCAGCTTTTGATAGCGTCCTTTCTGTAGGAAGATGAGAAAGTTTGCAAGTGTGGCAATTTTCCACAGGTCACTGAGCCAGTCTAACAGCTTCCAGAACTGAAATGTTGTGTTAAAAAAAAATTTACATAGTTACATGAATATACATGTAGATGCAGACATTTGCATAAGCAAGAAAGAGAGAAAGACAGGCAGACTAATCAATACAGTATACACTTTAGAAGAGATTCAATTAGAAATGATGAATTTGTTAATTCTGCCTGCAAATAAAATCCACATCCCTATATAAAGCAAACAAAGTATAGTTGTCGTTTTATTTTTATCCTTTACTGTTAATATTAGACAGACACCCAGAATCTCAGAGTTGAATTGAAAAAGACCTTTATAGTCAGCAATTTTACGTCAGAGTAAAAATAGAGGCAAGTTGGTTATATAGAGTAATTGCCAGTAAAACTCTGCTTGAAACTCGGGGCATCTGCCCAATGATAATGTTAAAATCACACAACCCTAGCAGTAATCCTACCTTGTCAATATGCCTGATATTTTGTGTCATTTTTGACAAGTCATGTGATCTCTCCTTCAACCAAGGTCCCCCCACAGTGAGGACAGCATACCATATCCTCTGCTTTCTGGATATCCACCTGACGCATCTGGAACTGCCTGTATCATCCTTGTATCTCAGACCTAACATCTGTTGTCCTATTGTAGCTTCAACAGCATCCAGAGAAAACTGAAATAGAAAAATAAACAAATTATTATTTAAAAAAAAAACATTCCTCTGCAAAGTTCTCTCTACTACACAGATACTGCACTTTTACTCATAAATTGTACAATTCATTTTGTGTAGAAAATAGTCTCACATGATTAGTTCTACCATTTTTATGTGTAGAACAGGACTCTGTACTACTTGCAGACAACACTCATGGTTTTTATTAAATAATCCAGAAAATAATCATAGATCTTAACACAAAAACAATAAGATGTCATATTAATTATTTTCGGAAGTGATTATTTCCATTTTACACAGACAATTTTAATCAATCAAGGTATTGTAAGCAATTTAAAAACTGCCATTAAAATGGTTTCCCAAAAGAATGTCATTAAGTCTTCTTTCTCCTTCTCTTCCCCCTTTTTTGAGCCAGTGTCCTTTAATTATCAGACAGCAGCAGAATGTTAAACTTTACTTAGTGTGAACTTGAGGCAGACGCCTGTCAAGTTTCATTGCATGGGTCTGTTATATGACTACATAACATATAATCCACAATGTAATATTATGTATGAAATCCGTATCTAAGGATCCAGATTTACGATAAGGAAGCCTTGTTACTGGACTCATATCAGAATTCAAACTGTCAAATTACTTTTACTAGTACTTGAAAAAAAGTAAAAAGCACACATCATTTATCCTGAGATTTAACCTTACAACAGCCCTGCATATTAAGTTATATTACAGCACTTGTAGAAGAAAAATAAAATTATAATAATTGAACTTGGCAGGGTAGACTGATTTAAATCCCCAGCATAAAGGTCTTAAGTCAATGGTCCAGGTTTGCATGGACCTGTAGTTTATGTACACGCTCCACTTAATGAGAAAAACACCCAGCAACAAACAAATCAGCAGCTGCCATTGAATAAAACACAATCTGCCTCTTAAAACATAATTGAAATATAAGCAATGAGCCATTGTTGCTGCCTGCACTGTGTGTGAACACAATGGCAGGGCTAATGTAACAATCAATAGGTTTATCAAAGATTTCCCAGGTATTACAGTGTGTTATTGCTACGCAAGGCACAGGAAGTGGTAGCTAACTTCGATACGCTCTCCCAAGGTTTGTGTACAGTCATCAGCTGACTTCAGTGTCTGGTACAGGGTTCAAATCTTGTACCTTATTTTCCAGACAACCTCCCAGGAGCTTGTGGAAAGGTGCCAGACTGCAATCAGCAGCAGCTGCTGGCTCTGAACCTCTACTGATCAAGTGACAAAACTGACATCTTTATGACACTGCGACATCACAGTTGACAGCTGTCTTAACAACGTGTCACATCTAGAGACATTTGGCCAAGAATACAGCCAAGCAAACACACTTAACTGGCTGACTTAAATCTTAAGGATCAGATCCTTGGGGGATAAAAAAGATAAAAGGTAACACTTTCACGGAGCTGTAATCCCCGCTGACACTGCAACCGTCAACACTGTCAAATTTCCAGGCACCTGTCACTGAGAGGCACCTGTCACCCAGAATAACAGATAAATAGCTGATATTTCCTAGGAATAAACTTCTCAGAAAACAATGGATCCAGGGGACAGTGGCTACTTGGAAGGGCTGATAGAGGTAAGATTTAGGGGCTGTATGTGCACTCCAGGAATTTCCTGTTGATGAAAAATGTTGAACCAGGTATAAAAATCATGTTATAGATTCAAGTGGAACAATATACAGTCATATATTTGTTACTGCTTAATAATAATAAGAGGAAGAAAAAGAACATGGCTTTGCATGTCAACAATAATTTTGAGTAAAACTATCCAACTGAAAGTATTAAACAGAATGTTTACATATTTCAACAGTTTCTTCTGGTCTTTTTTTTTTTCATGAAAAGTACTGAAAAAATGCAGCACTTTTCTACCAAATGTACAAACATTCAGTGCTGAAAAAATTACAACAATATAAGTATCACCTTTCTAAAATAAATATCTACAAATGCCCACCATTTCTACAATTTTTTTTCCACTAAAAAAACAATAACATACACAGCACCTTTTTACTGAAACTAGCACACTTGTTCAGGATTTAATTGGTATATCATACAGTTGTTTGTTGTATTCCCTCCTCAGCAGGGGACATGTTCAGGAATATTAATGAGCTTGGGTCTCGCCGGATCACATACAATTCTTACTATTGCAGCATAATTTTCAATTGTTTACAATTGCCTGGTTTTCTGCTGTAGCGATAAATTATGGGTGCAAGCAGGCAAAGAGGTTGCTAATTTGGGTCATGATGGCATGTGAAATTTTTGTCAAATGTTACAGAAACCTAATAATGGCTAAGGCTATACTTTATCATATTATCCAACTTTACATTATCTTTATGAAAAAAATTACCAGTAGCTATTTGTCTACAATAGAAAAATACTCATTGACAAGAGACTCATGACATACACATCACAATAATAAAAACTCAAGAAAATTGGTTTTTAAAAATGAGAGATTAAGGAAGGAAGAAAGATGGGCCAAAACTTTTATCTAATTTATAGCACCCCTCATGTATTTGTTTTATAACAGCAAATCACTTATGTTCTAAATTATGGTTGTGTCAACATCAGCAGTTATCAAATAATTGTCTGAATGAGTTTGCTGTCACAGTGTGGGAGACGAAACAGCTTATACTTGGTGTGTCAGAATTCCATATGTTTGTTTAATAGAGAGCATTGGGGAACACAATCCATGAGATGTAACATTGGCATGATTGCATTAGTTGTGACTCTGAGAATGGTTCCAAATTGTGTTGGGTGATCTGTAGGATGTAACAGTGTGTTAGTTGTGACAATGGGTAAGATTCCACATTGTGTTGGATGAGTGAATGTGTTAAGTGTTATTACATTTATGACTCACTCAAAGGTGCTAAATATTGCATTGTATAAAAGCTCAAATTTTGAAAATAAATTTGACAGTTAGTTGGCTACACATGTTAGCTTCACATACTGCATACCACCCTGTATAACATTTCAGCGGAGTCCATCAGCATCTTCTTTTACAGAGGAAAAGTCTGGGCTGAACCTTCTCTCATCCCTGACTACAAGTAGTCATCAGGTGACAAAAACATCTAAAGTGCACCGAATGTCATCTTATGAGTTTGACTACGAGGTATGTGTATGTGTCGCGTGCTTTGATTCAAGGAAAAAATGCACTGAATTGCTGTGAAAAGGGAAAAATCACACTGTGTTAATTTCCAGCACTGTTTTATGTTGAGTGTCATTTGCTGTGGATTGTTTAAAATTTTTAGATTCATTATCACTTATCATTTCTTTTTGATTGAAAAGTAGCTAGGCATGTCGAGTTGGTTGAATTACATTCTGGCTTCCTACTGTAGTTCCTTTAATTACAGTGCCCTGCTAAAAGACTATCAGCTGTTTTTTTTCTGATTGACAAAGGATTTTTTCTCTGCAAAAGTGCACTTGAGGTGGAAACGCTTTAGGTATGATATTCTCTGTTTGGCAATTTCATTTTTTTGCTGAACACATTAATAAAATGTATTTTAATGGACACCCTTCAATATAGCAGACACACTTGTTGTTACACTTACCTTCCAAACTAACAATCTCAATGCAGCATTTATTTCTGGTTCAATTTTAGTCAGCAACCCTGGCTGAAATGTGTAAAGGAACAATCTTTGATATTCTGACATACATCAAGTTTGATTACATTAATTATTATCGACTAAAATGCCAAAATAAAAAAAAGTTTTTCAAATATACATAATCCAATGCAAAATAAAATGTACATGAACATAATGTTAACTTTTAAAATATTGAAAGATAAAACAACATGTAAAATCTGCAAAAGATAGATTTCAAATAAGAGTTTTGACAAACAAACAAACTTCATTTTCTTCCAAATCCAGATTATTTCTGAAAAAATACTTTCAACTTACTGAGAAATATCTGAATGCCTTGAGGAGCTGAGTTTTGAAAATAGAGTGAACTTCATGATCCAGCTCAGAGGCATCCAACTGAAATAATACAAAAATATTTTTATCATTAACAAGTCACTGAAGTATGAATTGATCTATAAGCTGTACATTTACCGTTTTAAAAGCTAGATTTTTTGAGAGAGCTTTGTATAGTTTTCAGTAAAATTCAGAGAAGGAAATATTTGGAACTGAGTACTCAGTCAGTTGAAACCAAACAAACACTGCACAATCTGTGATGCACAGCCTATTTTCATCAGTTTTGACAATAATAAGTCTAGCTTCATGCAGCAGACTTTTTATACCTTCCACAGCAACCTGTCCCCTCCAACACAAACTTAATACTAGACTAAGTACATAAGCTGTGGCTTCAAGATATCTGAATTAAGTAACACATGCATGATAATCGACAGGCTGCATTACAAATTATCATGGCAGAATTGCAAACAGACGTCTGATTTTATTGAAACGGACAAGAATAAGAGAAGTAAACTTCTTAGCAGTGCCACATATTTCTAGTGTTGTTTACTGTTCGCATTGGCAATAACAAGGTGTAGGTTAAATTCAAAATTCGGCAAACATTAGATAAAAGAGCTTGAGAACAACTTTAATATATGTGCAAGTCCTCTAGAAAGATAAACTCAATATCGGATGCATTACCTGTGAAATGCGTAGAGCAGGAAATGCCCCCGCCTCCCTCGTGTCCTCCGCCATTTGTAAACAAACCACTAGGTTATGTTACGCGCAATATGATTGGCTAAGATGTTGTCGAGATTAACTTACTTTTTCTTTCTTTATTAAAGTAATATTTGATTTAGGAGAAGATACATTTAATAAATCCACATAATATGCAACATGTATTCCACCTATTTCTTAAATCAGGGCTTATTTTACTTCAATCAATAAATAAGATTGAGGTTAAAGTAAACCACCTAATCAGGGTAGACATAACAACAAAACTTAGGAAAGACAGCGCTAAATTTGACCTGTTTGGTGAGTAATGTTCAATGTTCTGGTGTCGCTTAAGTTGTCTGGGGTTCTTGTCATCCCATCTTCAACAGAGTTTGAAAACAAGGCAAAAGCTTACTTTAAAACTGATTGCAGCAATCTTCAGTGATGAGCCATATCTCTCCTTCTCCTTCTCTCTCTCTCTTTAAAATGTGTTTCCAACCCAGCAACAGTACATTTAGCAAGCTGATAATCTAACCACAAGCGCAATGTTCATTTTCAAGCCGGTAAATCGTCCCTCACTTTGGCTTGTCAACTGTATTACTCTGATGGCAGAATGTATGATGGTGTCATGATTCTAACATCTGCAGGTGGCTGCATGTGATTATCTAGCCTGTCACCAGACGGCGCTGGTGTACGCTTCTCCCCATAATGGTCAAGAAGTTGTTGTTGGGTCTTGAATATAAATTATTGAAATTTGTCAAAAAAAAAAAAAAAAAAAAAAAAAAAAAAAAAAACAGAGAGAGAGAGAGAGAGAGAGATGACAATATGTATATGAACAATTAACTTTTAAAGGTTTTGATTTCTAACTAATACTTCATTGCCAGACCTTTGCCTACGAACAACCTAACCAACTTTGGGTCACATGCATATTGCACAGCGGATTTATGCTCTTATAATTCGTTTATAAAAAAACTTGAAAGAGCATGAATGGGGACGCTAATTTTTAGACCACACAAACTCTAGAAAGCAGCTGTTTTATATTAAACCTTGAAGTTTAAATAATGGTGCTGTAAGTGCGTTTAGAATCACAATAACAATAATAAGGTGTATGTTATCAATTGCACGAGTATAAAAAATGTCAAATTTGTAAAAGAAATCCACGGTATGTTCAAAGTCAACATGGGGGTCCTCAGGTCTACCTGTTTTACTTGTTGTTTTTGTTGCACTTCCCGTATAAAGACCGCAGAACTAACATATCATTCTCATAGATTTGATCAATACTCGAATATACAGTAGTCAGAATTGGTTGCACTACACATTGTGGTTCTGTAGCAGTAGCCGAGCTGCCTTTTACAGGCACTTTAATAAATGAATGGGACTTTAAACGCAGCTCCGTGTTTATATTCTCAGCTAGAAAAACACAATTTTGTGTCTTGAGAAAACATAGTCTATAAAAGAAGGAAAAACAACAATTACATGTAAGCCAAATAAACGTAATTACTTTAAGCATTGATGAACAGTAAGAGTGGGCTTTTTAAATATTTTATGCCATGGTCTGGGTGCGCTGACGTGCACTTTTCTTAAACGCTATCCACTTTTCAATTTCCTTCGAAATATCGGCATTGGAACAAGAATAACGTAAGCATATATAAGTCTTGTTATCCTGGTTTGGGGCTCGTCTCCCATCTTTGAGGGCTGTGCAGTGGATAGTTAACGTACTGTGATCGAACGACTCACCGGTGTGACGTAATCTTATCGCGGTAAAAGACCGGCAAAGCACGCTCAATAAATTATATTTTAATCTATGAGCATTTTGCATGATCAATGAGTTAAGCTCTGTTGGTTATCGTTTAGTCGTCATTATTTATGCATGGCGTTTGGTTCACCTTGTTTCATTTTAAGTTGATACTGACGCCTCGCTTGGCATTAGGATAGACTCTAACGCTGACATCTTTTAACCCTTGTTTTAATACGAGAAAATAAATCGTTTCAGTATCTTTGATTAACCTGAACCTTAATCCTTGTAAGAAAACGTACTCAGCAACTTTAATCGGCTCGCTGCCTGGCAACGACCGACGCTAAAGTCTTAAACCGTTGCGGGGGGTCGCGTCAGTCCCCGCCCCCTGGCCACGCTGGTCCAATGAAAGTCGTCAACCCGGAAGACCACTCTTGGCGGCGCGGAGTGCTACTTGCTGAAGCTTGCACGCCTGGAGCGACTCTGTAAGTCAGGCCTCTCTCACCCTCCCCTCACGGTACTCCGGGGATCTCATTTTTGGCCATACGAACACCCAGGGGACTTGCCAGTTTACCGAGCACGAGAAACAACCAAGAGCCGGTTAGCGTAAAGTTGACCTATTTTTTCGACAGCGTGTGAGAGACGCCATCTTACTGAGCGCTCTCAAGTTTGAAATTTACAACTAGAGCAGAGTTGCTGATTTCACTGGAAACCGACATCGAGCACTGAACAGTGGTGCAAGAGTCGGAAAGACTGCACGAACCTCGCTGCACGAGGAACCCTCATGAGCTCCGAGGAACGCGATCATCGCCTTGAAAGAGTAATACAGGTGATTTGTTTTGGTTTGCTTCGTTAAAATCGACCAGAAGTTTGGCTTCACTGTTTATATCGTGACATGAAGAATTTAGCGGCTTGAATAATTTAAAAGCAACTGGTTTGTTAAGACTTGCGTGAGCTATGAGTTTGTAATTGTGGCTACAGTTTGATACTTTGTATCGATCGCAGGCCAAATTCTTTCATCCGGTCTTTTACATTGTAATCGATGTAGATACATTGTTTACAAATTACCTGCCTCCTAGGTCGATGATCCTTAAATGAGAACATACATTGCCGTAACAAGAGTAGAAAAAGACCAATGCCTTTCTATATGAAAAGAAAGCAATGCAGAATTGTTTCAGAGCCTTCATTACGTACAGAGTGCATGGATTTATTTGCCTTTCATCAATATTATTTTGCCACAGATTTTTCATATATACCAGCCCAGATTAGAAAAAACCGATGCAACAGTGAAATAATGAAAAGTTTACTTTTTTCACTGTATTATTTGCTCTTAAGGTAGTATGAAGCGCGGAAATGGAAAGAGCACAGAGAGGGAGGGTTGGGTGTAGTACTAGTTTTGTCATCTCTATTTACACAGGTAACATAAATACAGTTTATCTAGCACCTCAAGCACAGCAGTTATAGTGCAACAGAACTCGGGTGATCAGTGTCAGCTTGCAGTGTGTCAATACATCAGAAACAATTCTTGTTTTTCTGTCTCTGTTTTCAAGAACAAGAGAATGTCCAGTTATGCCCCCCACTGTACTTTCTGGCAGAGGAGAATTATGTAATCTTCTTCAGATCAGGTGTCAGCTATCACCAATGAGAGTCCCTTCAAAAGGACCTGTATATAAATACAATCTGTGTATCATGCAACTTTATTATTAAGAACTACATTGAAATATATAAAATAACTACATTCATTTTTTGTCCTTATTACGACTTATAAACAGGAGATACATTCTTTCTGTGCAGATAAACCAGTTCCATGCAACTTGTCTGACTCCTATTCATTTTAATCCTTGGACCTGTCACTGTTCTAGGTTGTATGTAAGGAGTTGCTACCTCTGCCCCCCCCCCCCCCACACACACACACACACACACATCACTGTTCTAGGTTGTATGCAAGAAGTTGCTACCACTCCCCCCCCCCCACACACACACAAGCGCGCACACAAACATTATAGTAGACAAATGCCCTGCTCTCAGAAATCATAACATGTCCTATAATCCGCAGCTAGAGTTTAAGAGTTTTGTTACCAGTTAACTTTGATACTCAGAATGAGTGTTTTGTTTTGCCATATCCATGTGGTTAGTAGTATCTATGTATGGTTTTTCATGATGGTAAAACTTAAAGTGGTTGAAATGTCAGGCCTCACATGTAGAAAACTCATTTAATGTCTTTAAAAAGTTGCCTTGCTAGAATGATATGTCCTCCTCTTTCCTCTGCCCACCCCCCCCCCCCCCCCCCCAAAAAAAAAAAGGGGACTGACAGCTGTCAGATGAAAGGTTGATAAGTTTATCAGTTTTAATGTCTCCCGTTTTGTGTTTGCTGGAGTCATTAATAGATACGTCACTGTCACTTGAGGCAATGAAAGTGCGATATGTTTGGTAATAAAAGTGTATAATCGCTCCCTTAAGTCCTGTCATGTGACAAATATGCTGTAAATCAACATATGGGTAGAAGTTAAGTACCTTCTACAAACAGATGAAAGGTAATTCCATGTCATGAACATGTCATCACTGTATTGTTAACAGAGTATCTCAGTTTTAAATTGGTGGATGTCTGAAAAGAAAAGTGTCTTGTCATTGCAATTCAAAATATTTACTAGTTGGCTATAAAGAGAAATATGTATTGGAAATATGTATTGGAACTATATTTGCCATTCTCACAACATGAATTCAAGTTCACCCAGAACACTCACTCACTGTCAATTCCCCCTTCCTCAACAGTGTTACTGTTAAATATTTTACCATTGCCAGAAATTGAAGTTGTAGCTAAGACAGTTGTTATCCCAATGTTTTCAATTATTCTGTCCCTTCCACATCAAGGATGAAAAATTTCTGGATTTATTACAGGCTTCTTTTCATCTCCAGGCATGAAAAAACAAGAATAAAAGAATTAATCAGTTTCACACTCTGAAAATATTTTTAAATGGTAACTGTCATGGATTAGGCACCTTTCTGTTTTTTGAGTGCATTTCAGCTGTTTTCAAGGCTGTTTCCTATCTACATAAGGTTAGAGGTTATGTTCTACATAGAGCACTGGGGAGCAAAGAGCAAGACCTGGATTTGTATACAATACCAAGAAAAAAATGCCAAAATAGTTTACATTTCGAAATTTTGAATTTTTAACAGTCCTGGTGAGAATGGAGGAAAAACAGAACAACAGTAGTAAGTAATTGAGTCATTAATTAGTATTTTATTTTGAAAAATTGAGAACCAAAGTGAAAGATATCATCTGTATTTCTACAGTTAATAGTCAGGTCAGAAGAAAGCGTGCCAGAATTTCTTTTGGGTTTGATAGTTTTATCACTGGAAGCTTTTCCTTAAAGAGAATGTCAGAGAGGAAGTAAAAATATTTGATTCTAAGAAAGAAGGAAAAACAATATTTGACAAAATGTCATCTATAATATTTGCATCAAGAAACAAATGATGTATCTCCCTCTCTTTACTTGCCTCAGAGAACAGATAAAAAGTAAAGAATGATGTTAATTTGTGGATTGCATGCTGACTTGAATAAAAGAATGATCAGATCTTATGAAAATTGGTATTTGAATAATCCCTATATTAACATAACTGGTGCAAAAATTAACAGCAGCTAGTTAGAATATTACTAGTAACTTGCTTAGAATATTTTGCTGATTTTTTACTATAGTGAACCTAACAGGGGAATTTAATTTTTTCCCTCTCTGTGTGTGTGTGTGTGTGTGTGGGGGGGGGGGGGGGGGGGGGAAAATCAAAGCATCTGCTTTCCCTATTAATGCCCAAATTTCCATAAATTAAAACTGATGAGAATATGGACTTACAAAAGGTAAAAATCTGCCTCGTAATCTTCCATTGTCTCAGTGTACAATAGTGAAATGAGTGAAGGACAAAGACAGGGATCCTGCTGTGTAATAGAAAGAGCTATGAGAAGACTTCCTTTACCTCTCCTGTGTATAGCAGTCATGTTCACCTGCCGTCTCTTATATAATACAATAATTATTATCATATAGAGTAAGTCATTACATTTGTCTTTGTGCCCCTTTGTAATAAGCCACAGGTTCACAGTGAAATATGACATGTTTGATGGCTTTTTTTTCTTTGTTCATTGATGGTTACATGGGAAAACATAAGAGTTGTAGCTGTGATGATGACAATGGTCTTCACTGCTGTGTGTTCAGCTTCTAATACTGCAAGAGATATTGCAATCATTCTTTAGCAGGAACATGTTCTTCTTGTGTTACATATGGTGCTTGCTGTCAGCCTGACTTAATATGACAAAATTAAGATAAATATATGTATATCTCCTTAATCAGGTAATGGTATGCACTTGCAATTGTACTTGTAATTAAGACTGGGGTGGGGGGTGGGGGGGAATTCCCTGGACAATACAGGTATTACATTGTACTGATGTCTTAGTAGTTCAGGAGATGGATATGGCCACATGTGGCTGGACAATTACTTGATTGCACTCAGTCTATTGCTGAAGAGAGTCTCTTAAACAGGGGTTCTGTTCAGTGGAAATCAAGGTACAAGTAGGACCCTTGACGTTTGGGCGTGTACACCAAAACATAAATGGCCCCAAAGACTGGAAAAATCTAACTAGAAAGTTCAGTGTTGAATTCTAACGTACTAGTATTGGATTTACTCATATAGAGTTTTCTTTGGATTTAAATATGTTCTGCCCCAACACAATTAAACATACGGTTCCAGGCTGACCGTTCTGACCATTGCTGTGGTCAGTATGATGGCATGGAACACAACAGTTAATGTACTAGTAGTAGATGACCACTTGCAATTGTAGTATGTAGTCAGTTGCTGTAAGCTGATGCATTTATTGTGGATTGACAATTGTTTGCAGTCTGAAGTCTGATAAATGATCATTTTTTAAAGGAGGAATGGGCTTTCACACAATGACACATTTGACATTTCATATTAACACATCTTGAATTTTATGTGTTTCAGAAACTAGAAGACACTGTACTTAAGAGCAGCACAGAACCTTACACCTTTAAAGAGACAGAGGACAGCCCATCGGCGAAGGTCCCCGCACGCATCCGGGAGATCATCACCAAGAACTTAACTGCTGAGGAACAACTGCCAGAACCAGGAACAATGTCGCAACCATCAGCCGAGCAGCTGAGAGAGGAGAATCGTATGCTCCAGGCGGAGCTGAATCGTGTGGAGGATCTCCTAGCGTCGAGCAGAGCAGAGAGAGACGAGATAGGGATCAAGTATAATGCTCTGAGTGAAAGGGTGAGCTTGGTTTTTATATCATTTTTATTTTGCCTTTATGTTGAGATTAACTGTAAGGCAACATTTAAATTATTTTTTTTATGTTGCCTAATATGTTCTGATACTCCACTCAATTGACAGGTTTTAAGTACAGCAGCAGGGGAAACTTTAAAATTAAAAAAAAATTAACTTACGGTCAGCCAAAAGGACCAATTTGAACCTGTTTATTGTCACAAGGGTCATGATCAAGATCTACTAAAAGACCACCAGTTTTGCTGTGTATTTTAAATGCAAGTAATGGAAACTGGATCTTTTTAAATAAATTTTCTAAAAATGAAATAATGTTGAATAACAATGAGGAAACTCCTCTTAAAGCCAAAATGGTAAAAAAAAAAGGGAGAAAGGGGAAAGGTTACATCATGGTAATGAAAAGTTTACATCTTATGTAAAATCATGGGAAAACAGTTGAAAACTTAAAGTACTAGTAGTCACAAATTGTACATTGATTCTTAATAATCCAATGTTTCCCTTTAAATCCTTACTAGTTAGTATAAACTAAGAAGGTAATTCCTCATAGGGTCTAGCTGTGCTATTTCTCCTGATCTACAGTAATGCATTAATCTGACTTAATACTCTAGGGATTAGGATTAATAGCAGAGTCCTAATTGGTAACTTTAAGTCTTTTCACATGCAATTTATCCATTTAGATACAGGTGAGTGGGTGTTATTACTGTAATACTTGATTTTGTTTAAAGTTCCCATTGTGTGTGTGTGTGTGTGTGTGTGTGTGTGTGTGTGTGTGTGTGTGTGTGTGTGTGTGTGTGTGTGCACGCGCATGCATGCTAGCCTCTGTTAAACCCAGAACACTATAATTCAATGAAGTGCAGTAATTTGATTTTTTTTTTTTTTTTTGGGGGGGGGGGGTATATGGGTGACTGAAAGAATTATGGCACTCACCTTGAATTAGTAGCTTTCATCAATATGACTTCAACCTAGTAGAATTCCCAGCAGGTAGTGCTGTGTTATCTAAAGAGCTGTTGTTTGTACATACAAATTGAACTGAATAGGAAAGTGCATTATTAATAACAAGAATGCGGTTTACTTTTAATTATTCATTCCCCTTTGTATAGACCCAGTTATGCACAGGATTTGAATAACACTATGGTTGTTAATGAAAATCATCTTTGGTTAATTTAATGAAGAGATAAGTTAATTAGTAGAAGAGAACAAAGGTGTGTTAATTCATCTTATAAGAAGTGGATCATTAGCTGATTGAAAAGAGTGCATATGTTTAATTGATTTGATGTAGATGAAAAGTGCCACATGAAAAAAAAAACATTTGACTGGAGATGGGTGTATTGTGTAGGTGTCAAACTCTTAAGCTTTGTGTGAATAACACTCAAGCTGAATAAGTTGTACTGAGAACTCAGGAAACTGAAACAAAAAAACTCAATAAAAAGTCGAGGAAAAATCCCTTTTCAGGTATGTTAAAGGTAGTTTTAATTAACACACGCAGGAAATAAAACATCTCCTTAGCTTCTGCTAAAAGTCTCTCAGCCTGCCACTTGTGACATATCTTTTTTGTTGAAAGGCATGTTCAATTATCAGTCCATTCAAACCTGTTCATGTAGAACATGATAACATACATCAGGTCTCATGCAATCAGTGGAAAGCCAGGTGAGATATTGTGTAGTATGACAGTTATAATGACATATAACTGACTAAGTCTAGGATAAACTGTTCATTGTATTGTCTGCTACAGTCAGATAGGTAACTGTAAGACGCCTTCTAACTGTGTTTAAACCAATTTAAACATTTCAACTGTAATCTGTAATAAGCCAAAATTTAATGAATACAGTTTTCTGTTGGTACTGTTCAAAATGTTTAAAAATTGAATTTCAGGTTATATAAAATAATGACTAAATTGCTGGAAAATTAAAGAAATTACTTTTACTTCGGCATAAGGTGGACTGTCAAGTTGAGCTCACTCAGTGATTGTTCAATGGGAATTAACTATACATTTAATATACATCTCTTTTTTTTAGAATATTTCAAGATTTATATTTTAAATAACTCCATAAAATTATACTCCCAGATTATGAATCTAACAAGTAGAATTTTAAAACTTCTTCAGGTTTGTCTAGTAAAGTACTGATTTGAGACCTATAAACTGAAATTCATTACTGTATTGAGCCATCACTCCCAGGCAGTGTCAGATATACAGGGGGTTTGTTGTTAGATTGCTGACATCATAATAGTTGACAGTTTTATTTGTTGGACATTAAAAGGCTGAGGGGCAGTGACAAGTTAATTTTTCAGGGTGAAAGACTTAGTGTTGGATTGTTTTGATTGTTGCCTAGGAGTTCACTTGGCAGTAAAGATGTTATAACTTACTAACCCATGTAGTTTTGTGTTCTTAGTTAGTGATTTTAGGTAATATGATCTTTTTGGTGTTTGAGAGGGGAAGAGGGGGGAGGGGGAAGAAGAGTGAGAGAGGCTGAGGAAAGAAGTGGCAAGAGTAAAGGGTGGTTGTGGGATGAGGAGGGATATTATACAAACAATAAAATATAATTTTATGTGTTCATGCTATTTCATTAGTAAGGTCTGCTAGGTTATTGTGCAGTTGCAGGTCAGTTAGTAGGTAACAGTTTTTACATCAGAGCTTAAAAAGGGTGGAAGTTAGCATCTTATTATCGCCTTTCATAAAATGGCAGAAATGTTAAAGTGGTCGATCTCAGGTACCAAAACCTCTTAAGAATTAAGAAAAATTGGGCACTCTTTCCCTCTTAGTGCAACCCCAGCAGTTTAAACAGTTTTAATTTCTTTTTACTACATCTAAATTGCCTTGGATTCTCATGGGGATTTAAACATTCTTGTACTCCTGCCTGATTTTCTTCTGAGGGTTTTATCATTTCTCTGTAACTTGCTGCTCACATCAACAGCAAAGAAAAACTTTCCTTGTAGTCCCAGTAAAGCCAGGGCAGATCACTGGGCTGGCAATCAATTTCTACCTCTCTATTGTAAAGGTGAAGTGTTTGTATAGACAACATGACTATGTGTACTATAGAGTAATGACAGGGGACATTCACGTACATCAAAATTCAAGCCACAGTGACCAGTGATCCTGTATTATACTGTATACGTATACAACATGACTATGTGTACTGTAGAGTAATGACAGGGGACATTCACATACATCCAACTTCACCACAGTGACCAGTGATCCTGGATTGCACTTACTGGTTCTGTGAAGACAGTGTATGTGTGATGACAAGTTTACTAATAATGTTATCTGGGGATGCTCATCTCACACATATAACAAAACACTTCACATCAAATCACAGCATAGCAATACAACATAATACAAAAGGATGCAATATAGCACTACACAATGCAATACAACGCAACACCACATGATACAGCAGAACACAACATAACACATCACATGATACAACACAATGCAACACAGCATAATACAGTGCAACATGGAATGTCACAATGCAGCACAACACAACACAATGTAATACAACACAACACAACTTCACAGCTTGACACAACATAACACAGACTTGCCTCCTTCAGGATCAAATATCATGGCAACTGAGTGTTGTTTAGTAAGAAATAGTTTTTACATGAAACCAGGGACCTGAAATATAAAATACTTCACAGATCACAAACCATTGACTCAACTCGGTTCAGTCTCGTCCCAGACATGAACTGTGTGAACAGCTGTCTAGATATAGAATGGACAGGTGAGGCATGTATGAATTATTCAGTACACTGGTCTGCTGGGGAAGTGAGAGAATTGATTAGTGAACACAAACTAAAGTGAGATGATTGGAATCACTTTGTCTTACATGTACTTACACTAAGTGATAAGGCAAATACCAGACTAATTTCTGAGTGATGAGTGAAAACTTCAGCTCTATGCGCAGGTGCTTTAGTTTTACATAACCACATTATAAAGTGATAGATGTAATGATGCTTTATCAATTGAAAGTCAATAATAAGATGTTTGCATGTTGCTAATTTATGATGTCTCTTGTTAATGTGTTCTAGCAAGAGAGTGAAGTTCTGGAACTTATGTAAGAAAAAAGGGCTCATCTTGTATTTCTATGCAATAGGCAGCTCATGAGCATCTGGTGGTTTTTGGTTGTTTTATGAAGCTTCTCTGTACCACCCACCCACCCATCCCACCAACCCCACCCCATTAACCCCACCACACCCCACCACACCCTACCACACCCCACCAACCCCACCCCTTTGTCACATGTATAATTTTCAGCTGCCAGGCCATGTTGTACAGTGTTTTCAATGCATTCTGTCTCTGTCCAGCCCATAGAAATAACATGTAAAGCTCCCTGACCTGTTATATATTGTTTTTCTGGACTAATGATAATTTAATTTTCTGCTGGATAGCATTACACATGTGGGTACTTTATCTATGTGGTGGTTTACATGTTTGGGTCACAGTTCAATGGAAATTTATTAACTGGATTTGATGTAAAAAGCAATGGCATAAGAAAGTAATAACTTTATATCAAACAGTTATTTGTGAATTTCTGTCATGTAGTCAAAGATTAAAGATCAAACAGCAAGTGTATCAAAGGTAAATTGAAAAAGATTTTGATTAGTGAAAGTTAACTTTGACCTTAGGCATTGAGAGTCATATTATGAGGGGAAGGGGGTATTTTAAAGTTTAAATGATTTTTCTTGGCTATGTCATAATAAAGTAATTTGCAACAGAGGAACCAAAAGCAATTGCTACAGAATTTAACAAAAAGGCTTCTTTTCATCCCAAAAAGTACATGGTTGTCCTTTTTGCTGCATGAAAAAATAAGAAGTGTCTGTCATTTCACAGAGTTAAATCCAAATCCAGGTACCTATGATCAAAAGTCAGTTGCATGGTATTGAATTTAGCATTAATTGTAAAAGTAAAGCTGAACAAAGTATATATGTAATTGATTCTGTGCTTTTGGTAAACCATGATAAAAACAACATTTGTATTGTCCTTTAATCTTCTTACAAGTACCTTTCCAAGTTTCTATCAATAAAATACATTATAACAGGTCTAGAGGCTGTTGACACAGGTTCTGGTGTCATACAATATGAGATAGAATAATCAAGTGGTTGTGGGTTAGATAGCAAAGCCGATTAAAGTCATGTCCGCTAGCTATATAATCCTTGCTCTGTATTAATTCAAGTAAACATTCATAAGACTTGGTTGTAAGGCAAGGCTTAGGGTGGCATTGGCCAGGAAGAGGTAAAGGCAGAGACGGAAATTGGATGGAATGGGCAGGTTGTCAATATTGCAGAGTTATGGAACTTTTGGAGATGGAGTTCTTTCTCCTCTTTTGGCAGATTTAATTTCTTTTATTTATACAGATATGGGATTTCTTGTGAGGAAGATAGTTTCTCTCTAATTTTACCAACATCTTGTCCAAAATTGGGTACAATGATTGTTTATGATGTTTTGCACATTGAATATAATATTAGAATTAAAGAACTTATTGCCAAAGCACCAGTGGTCAAGATGACTGAGACCAGTGAGTTTGGCCACCAACAGGTCGCATTATTGGTCAGTTTTGTCCTGAACAGTGTCAATCAGTACAAGAGGGAAAGTCCTCAGGTCTTGTGGTTTTAGATTTCATCACTTTATAAATTGCACAGATATGGTTTCTAAAGCATTTCTGTAAGTTTGGCGGCATTTCTCCAGTTACTTGTTAATTGTGAGTGTTCCCTGTATCATCAAACAGTTGTCCATTTTACTTTGTGAAGATCTGGGAAGGAGAAATGAGAAATCTTGAGATGGTCTTATTTTTCTCATAATTTCCACCATTTCTATTACTTATATCAGCTTGGCTAGCTACATATGGCTAAACATATTGCCTAAGCTTGCACCACAGAATAAGTAACATTGTGAGAGCAATAAAATAAACAGCAGTTAGTTTGGATGAATGGCCTCCGTCGTAGTACACTTGTTGATAGAAGTACTTATAGTATTGCCACACAATGACGCGGGGTGGGCACACAAAGGTGACAGGTTTACACACATTGTTCTCCGCAATTCAAGAGAGCTGGGCAAAAACATTTGTAGCGTCCCTAGTTATAAAGTCTAAGCTTGGTTCTGGTAGTTTTAAGGTTGGCCTGAGGAAGTGCTTGCTGGTCAGCATTCTTGTACGAGTTCTGTTTTCTGCCATCCTGTCTCACGACGCACCTTTCTTATCTCTGTTGCCTATTGATGAGCCGTGGAGTTATTCCTAGGTGGTGTTTGCATTGAAAAGATTGATAGCATTGGATTATTACTGTGACAGAGAGAGTCCAGCAACATGACTGACTGGAAGTACGGAAGCTATGTGGAGACCAGCAGACTTTCAACTGAGGTATGGAAGATGTATCAATATTAATGATTTTAGCCCTGTCACCAGGTGGAAGAATACTTATGATGCTGTTAAAACTGGTGTCAATATTTCTGCTGCATTGATGAAAATTATAGAACAGGACTGGCTTTGTGAATAGTGGCTGTCTTGCTCAGTCTAATCAGTTATCTGAAAGCAACACTTTAGAAGTACATATATTCTTGCATTTATATTGACCATGCAGTCAAACCTAGTTGTGCAGATAGTTTTAAGATTGAATTCTCTCTCACTCAGAGTTGGATTGATAACCTTATAAGTTGTTTGATCTATTCTTAAACAGTGTGATTGCAAACAGTCCTCACCTCATTATGATAAACATGAAGATAATTAGGTTGTTATTGATGGTACCAAGAACCCATTCTTCATAGTACCAATATCAGCACTGAAATCAGCTGCCTTTGTCACAGTGTGAAAATAATGTGCAGTTAGTTATGAATTGAGTTTAATTGATTGACAAAATGCCGACACAGAAAATGAGTACAACTTATTGATTTTATTGGTGCGGATATTGATTTTGGTGGAACCAACCAGTGTTGGCCACCTGTCCAGTTCTGTATTGGCAGAGAGGCCAGAGAGGGGTAGCACAGGGGAACAGGTGGGAGAGCACAGGGGTGGCACCTGTAAAACATAGAGGTTTTACTTTAGGGTAGATGTATTGCATGCAGAAACCATCAAGTATTGACTGGGGAGATATTGTCATTCAGTGGAAAGGTGTCACCTGTTAAAATTGGGTGTCCCAGTATAGAAAAGTTGAGGAGAAGGTTAAAAGTTACTGATATAGTGCTAAGAGGAACAGGAGTGTTTGTATTGAGTGAAGTAAAATGACTGATTGGAGCTATAGAAGATACTTAGATAGACCTGCTCCAAGGGAGAAGGAGGTAAGTTTACTGGACAGTTGGGTTGGCTATAGTTTGAAAGCCAAAGTGCCATGTTGTCAACTCAACTGACAATGGCTTAGAGCTGATGAGTCTATTAACTCCTTACTATAACTTCATTTACTGGTGGCTTCACTTGGAAATCAGACTGCTTTATTTCAAATATGAAAATTGTTTTAAATGTCATATTTCTTTCACACTTTCAGCTGGAGCAGTCCCTGAAACTCCAGAACGGGGATTTTGGCACAGAAGATCCTGCCCAAAAGAGCCTGGTCACTCAGAACGTGGAGCTAAGACGCAAACTTGAAGAAGAGCANGAAGATGTATCAATATTAATGATTTTAGCCCTGTCACCAGGTGGAAGAATACTTATGATGCTGTTAAAACTGGTGTCAATATTTCTGCTGCATTGATGAAAATTATAGAACAGGACTGGCTTTGTGAATAGTGGCTGTCTTGCTCAGTCTAATCAGTTATCTGAAAGCAACACTTTAGAAGTACATATATTCTTGCATTTATATTGACCATGCAGTCAAACCTAGTTGTGCAGATAGTTTTAAGATTGAAATCTCTCTCACTCAGAGTTGGATTGATAACCTTATAAGTTGTTTGATCTATTCTTAAACAGTGTGATTGCAAACAGTCCTCACCTCATTATGATAAACATGAAGATAATTAGGTTGTTATTGATGGTACCAAGAACCCATTCTTCATAGTACCAATATCAGCACTGAAATCAGCTGCCTTTGTCACAGTGTGAAAATAATGTGCAGTTAGTTATGAATTGAGTTTAATTGATTGACAAAATGCCGACACAGAAAATGAGTACAACTTATTGATTTTATTGGTGCGGATATTGATTTTGGTGGAACCAACCAGTGTTGGCCACCTGTCCAGTTCTATAGTGGCATAGAGGCCAGAGAGGGGTAGCACAGGGGAACAGGTGGGAGAGCACAGGGGTGGCACCTGTAAAAAATAGAGGTTTTACTTGTGGGTAGATGTATTGCATGCAGAAACCATCAAGTATTGACTGGGGAGATATTGTCATTCAGTGGAAAGGTGTCACCTGTTAAAATTGGGTGTCCCAGTATAGAAAAGTTGAGGAGAAGGTTAAAAGTTACTGATATAGTGCTAAGAGGAACAGGAGTGTTTGTATTGAGTGAAGTAAAATGACTGATTGGAGCTATAGAAGATACTTAGATAGACCTGCTCCAAGGGAGAAGGAGGTAAGTTTACTGGACAGTTGGGTTGGCTATAGTTTGAAAGCCAAAGTGCCATGTTGTCAACTTAACTGACAATGCCTTAGAGCTGATGAGTCTATTAACTCCTTACTATAACTTCATTTACTGGTGGCTTCACTTGGAAATCAGACTGCTTTATTTCAAATATGAAAATTGTTTTAAATGTCATATTTCTTTCACACTTTCAGCTGGAGCAGTCCCTGAAACTCCAGAACGGGGATTTTGGCACAGAAGATCCTGCCCAAAAGAGCCTGGTCACTCAGAATGTGGAGCTAAGACGCAAACTTGAAGAAGAGCATGCCAGTTACAAACGCAAGCTCCAGGCATATCAGGATGGCCAGCAGAGACAGGCGCAACTGGTCCAGAAACTGCAGGCTAAGGTAAGGATACTAAACTAGTTTTTGGCTGCAATATGTTCTCATGGGAAGACAAGTGGATTTTTTTGTATCTATAACAGAGATGATATTTTTCATGACTATCAATGGATTTCTGACTTTTTTGGAGCCAAAAATATCATTGACCACGGCAGCCCCCTGGATGCCATGCCATATTTTCCAACTTTTTCTCTAATTGAGAATCTCATCCCTGTTTTAACAATGCTGCTGAAATATATATATATATAAATATTTGTTTACTGTTGTCATTGAAATGTCAGGAAGATTTAGATACAGTGTGCAAAGTACTTGGGTAAACTTACCTTTACCTTCAGTGTTAACTGACTTTGCAAAATTGAGTTTCAACCTTTGATCACTCTGCCTTGAGTACCTTGAGATGAATTGTTTGATTGAGGACAGTATTGTGCTCTTAACAGTTGATGTGCCCCAAGAGGCGATGATATATCTGAATATATGTCTAAATGAAATATGGCCTTTTGCAGAAACACTTGGTGATTCTCTCTCCTCCATCTCCTCCCCCTACTAATCTGCCATCGCTTATACTACATAATACCTTATCATTCTTGTTTCTCTTGTGATAGTACACAGTAAATATGTACAACTGTTGAAATAACAGCTTTAACCCATCACAATACCCAATATGGCTGAAATTTTTCATTTATTTGTGAATGCCAATTACAAAGTCATATTTAAGTGAACTTTCTAATAAAAGACCAGTAGAAATGTTTAAAACCAGTATTAATAATTATGCATGTTTTTTTTTTTCAACTGATTCAAATTTATTTCTTGATAAATTATGCAATAATCAAGTGCAAGTGACCCATATCCTGACTCATTAACTGTCTTCAACTGCAATCCAACTGTTCATGAAAATCAAACAGTGTTGAAATTGCTATTTGCTTTTGTGTATTGGTGCTAGCTGTTTGCACACTGTTGAAGTGGGAAATGGTATTCATTGGTTGATTGTCCTTTAAATCAGGGCTAAATGTGGTCCAAGTCACTGTGAAACCTTATAAATGCCACCAACATACATATTCATTGCCTGAGTTATACAGAAAGGGTTAGTAATGTATTTGTCTATATAACAGTTGCCTTTCTTTTATATGTGACCATAGTAAGTATCATCAGGACTTGTCCAAGTTCTTAGTCCAAAATTGTGTGTTAACTTTCTGAAATGTTTACACTACTCACAAATGTGATGACGTTTCCTCAAGTGAAGTATTTGTGATCGTTGTCGTGTGTTTCATTATTTGATACCTGTCATAGAGGACGTTCTTATTTTGCTAAGCACTGCAAACGTGCATCTTTGTTCACCCTGGCAACTCAGTGGAATTTGATAGAACTTGTCATCTCTATCGATTGCTTTCATGTGCACTTTGACATATGGATGCACAGGAATTTTATGAGAGCTCTTCAAATGGAATGATACAAGGTGCTCACCTCTGTGATCCTTTGACGATTGTAAAAACCGTTAATTGATATGACTATCAGTATTTAAAATTACCATTGATTTAGAGGCCCTTGGTTTCATCTTTATTTCAAATATTTATACCAAGTGTTGAAAATTTTCTGCCTGCTTATCTCACCTTTTTTCAGCAAGGTCACAAACACTGATATCAATTTGCAGATTTATTAATTTTTGTTTTTATGAATTTTTTTTTCGATTTCTAAATTGTAAGTATGATTAAGAAAACAAGATCAGCAGTGGGAAGGATACAATGGGTAAAAGTAAAGTATTATAATGCAAAACATAAGAAGTTTTTTCTAAATTAAAAACAATAAGAAAAAAAGGCTGAGGTTATCAGTGTTTGTGGTTGGAAACAAACATCGCATAAGTTTAATAAAACACATTTGGGGTAAGACCTTGTTATCAGACAGAATGCCAGCATTAATCTGGCTAATTTGTCAAGGCGTTGCAGTTCCCTACTTAAGAGAGGAAAAGACAACCCTTAATCCTGTTGATGTCAGTGTTTGTCAGGGCAGTGATGGCCAATATGTACTTAACCCTGGAGTTAAATACACTTTTCAGGATGCATTCACAGTGAAACTATCATGCTAGGTAGTTCAAACTAACTCTGCAGGGACTCTTGCTGAATGCAGTCAGATTGACTAACAGGCCTCTGTTTGGCATTAAGTAGACTATAGAAAAGCTGGTGGTTACACAAAGTGTGTGGGAGACAAGAGTCATGGTACAGTGTGATATTTGGGACTGAACACATGGTATCAGTGGTCAAGCTGTGTGACATTGACCAGTCAATACATCAGTGACCATGCCCTCTCTGTATGTCCAACTGAACACATGGTATCAGTGGTCAAGCTGTGTGACATTGACCAGTGACCATGCCCTCTCTGTATGTCCAACTGAACACATGGTATCAGTGGTCAAGCTGTGTGACATTGACCAGTCAATACATCAGTGACCATGCCCTCTCTGTAAGTCCAACCCATGGTCAGCAGAACAGTGGAATAATACTTTATCAACATTTGAATTTAATTGAGTTTACCCTGAACAGATTATCTCACTGTGTTGGTATTAGCTAGTTCTCATATCCAGTAAGTGGTGATATCGTTCTCCAGCATGCCCGCGTAGATTGACCCTATCTTGGTGATAGGCAAACAGTGTTATCGCTTTTAAACTCAGCGTCTTGTTTACTCTTCAACCGACGCTCTCCCCCCAACTCTTGTTGCACTTTTGACAGTTTTATGAACACGTTTGGAGAGATGTGATAATTACAAAATTAACTCCTGATTAAATAGCTTCACTGGCTAGATGCATGAATGGTCAATTCAAGTACCCCTTTGTTGAACATTCAAGTACTTTCTTTTTCATTTTTCTTAAGATTTTGACTTTTAGATTTATAGTTTATTTATTGTAAAATTCTGAAATATCTGATGTAAAAAGAGCAAAAAACAGTATGGGATACTCCTGGGGCTGTAACACAGGCATTCCTTATAACATGCCTTAGATATTCTACACATTCTTAATACCTCAAATAGAAATAGCTTTAAAAAAAAAGACCCCACGCCTGCACATGATCAAAATATCACAAATAAATATGATTCAGAAAAAAGGAGCAAGAAAGGCTCCTCTCCAAGCACACCTGTGGACCTTTAGAAGCCACTTTATTGACAAGTATAAAAGCAGGTGCTTGAATGGTGAATTCAGCAGCAACTTGTTCAGATCTGATTTAGGGTACCTTTGTTGACTCTCAAACATCACCCTGTGCTAATAAAAAATAAATGGGCAATACAAAAAAAAAAAAAATTTACTCTCTCCAACCTTTTGTATACAATTTTCATTGATAACCACAATAAATGTTTGAAATGTTTATACAACTGTGTTATAATTACTGTCAACCGTGCAGGCCCCCATAGCCTCTTGACTGGGCTATGCTATAGAAGTAAGTCAGGGATTTGCCCTCGTCTGTGGATAAGCTATTGAAGGTATACAGGAAGGTTCTTTTGTCTTGGATGTTTACTAGCCACGCTGTGTAGAGAATAGGCCCAGGGTCTCAATGAAAGCAATCAATTGATTGGTAAACGTCAACTTTACACTTATACAACAAGTACATAACAGTTGAGCCTGAAAATTAAACTAGGTCACAAAGCCGACAGACCTGACGCGTCCCTCATCAGTTTGAATTGGATTTTGAGGACGATATTCTGTCTTTTGGTACCTGTTGGAAGTAAGTGGTCAGAATAGTGATTAGAATGTGGACAGTTAGTGTTGGGCAGTGTTGACTTAGCATTATGTAATGAAGTGCAGATTTAGATAGGGAGAGTAACGGTTTTGAAGTCCTTTAAGTATCAAATGTATACATAGTGCTGCACGCACACACACATCGCAGACGCACATCCCTGGTAACTCTTATCTCAGTAGAAGCTTGATGTTGCTATGCAAGCTTTAACAGCAGTTGTTTATCAAACTGTTTGTAGTTCTCTTGATTTAAATGTTAACGTTGGGGCTGACTTTTAACCTCCGGATTGTTCACCAACTCCTCTATTAATCCCTATGAAGGCAAGAGATCACCAAGTGTAATTGTTTTGCTCAAGCAACTACTACGGGAAAAAAATTCTATAGTAAGTAGTAGGGGGGGATTTTTTTTAATATTTCCTTGCATGAATTGCATTTTAGCAATAATCTAAAGAAATCAATTCCCCTAACTGACATTTGCAGTCAGTTTTTGTAATTAAAGCAACTAACATGAATTGCTGATTTTACTATATTTTCATATCTCATTGATTTCCAATTAAATCAATATTCTACAACTGACTTATTACTGTATATATGACACTGTATCTTGAATTACTTAAGAGAGAAATATTTCCACTGATGAATAACTAATATTGGTGGATACTGAAATGATATTTGTGTGAACTTTACATCAGCTTTGGTTATTCTTATTTGATTTTAATTTTTACTTCATAACGATGTTATTTCATACTGTTTATGATATGTGCAAATGTGATGGCTAATTTCTCATTTTCCATAAGGTGTTACAATACAAAAAGAAATGTGGCCAGATGGAAGATATTCTTCAACAAAAGGAGCTGGAACTTCATCGCAGTCGGTTCTCGGTATGGAATAAGGCAAGAAAGCATGGGAATCACCAATGCATGCATTAGTGCATGCTAACCTTTTTAATTCTTTTTTTTTTTTTTTAATTTCAGGAGCATCATCAGTACTTTTTCAGATAGCAGCATGATAATTCTGCTACATTGTTTCATTGTCAGCCAGGAATATTTTATGGCAAGGGATACATTGTTGCAAATTTGACAAGAAGCATAGCAGCATTGAAACATTGTATTAGTTTTAGATTTCAGCATGATGATAATGATACATTGTTTCATAATGCAGCATGACAGAATGGATGCAACTTCAGGTAGCAGCATTAAGACACTAATACCTAGGTTTACAGTTAAAGAATAAAAATAGCATGCTATACAAAATGACAGCATGCTCTTTTTCTTTGCCACTTGATGCAGCTTATGGGCTCGCTTTGCTGATTTGAAATTTTTACCAGGAAATAGGATCATTTAGAATGAATTACCTTTGCCCAATTACCAAATTAAAAAAAATCAGCAAGCAAGCCCATTAGTTGATGTCCTTAGTCCTGCATCAGTGGTAAAGAGAAAGTTATCTCCATCAGCATAAAGTCTTGTAGACCAAGTATTATATTAACGAGCATGATTATTTTGTCATAGGTCTTGCAGTACAAGAAAAAGGTTGGCGAACTTGAGACCCAAAATACCGACCTAAGATCGGTAAGACACTGACTACCTGACGGGTGTCATTACTCAGATGATGTGTTTTGATTTTTGATTGGCCTTCAGAAAATGACTTCACTGAAGTATGTGTTGGAATTCCAGTAGTTTTAGTTTTAAAATTTATTTAGTGTTTTGTGATCAGAAAAATCTCTGGAATAAATTTCAGAAAATGAAAAAAAGCACCTATTTTTTCATCATTTTTTTTTTTCATTTTTTTTTCTATATTAGATATATCATGCTACATGATAAAAAGCCACAATGAAAGAATAAACAAATTTATTTAAATAATATATTTGCTCTTTGGATAAATTCTTGTGCAGTAAAAAAGAAATTGCAAACAAGATCATATTGACAGTGGATATTCCACTCAGCACCTTTCAGTGATGTCATTTGCAGTCTGTATTTTGATGTGTGTGTCACTATAGTTTAGTCAGGCTGGTTAGATGTACAGACGAGCTGCTCAGGCCAGATTTAGGGTGAAACTGCTTTGTGATTGCAGCACATGTTAACTTATGAGGAATTTAGAAGTTTGGGTGTTGTGGGGCCTCTGTATGCAGAAGAAAGGGGGACAGGAGAGAGAGAGAGATTGCCTTTTTGGTATGTGTGTGCACGTGTGTTTGAGAGAGAGAAAGAGAGAGAGTTTGTGTGTGTGTGACAGATAGAGAGAGAGAGAGTTTGTATATGAGAGAGAGAGAGTTTGCTTTTTTGGTATGTGTGTGCACGTGTGTTTGAGAGAGAGAAAGAGAGAGAGAGTTTGTGTGTGTGTGACAGATAGAGAGAGAGAGAGAGTTTGTCCATGAGAGAGAGAGAGTTTGCTTTTTTGGTATGTGTGTGCACGTGTGTTTGAGAAAGAGAGAGAGTTTGTGTGTGTGTGTGTGTGTGTGTGACAGATATATGTATATAGAGAGAGTTTGTATATGAGAGAGAGAGAGAGAGTTTGTGTGTGTGACAGAGAGAGTGAGAGAGAAACTGTTTCTCATGTACAATGAACACTGATAAATCAACCTAAGATGAGGTCAATCAGTTCATTTTTTTACCCTCTGCACATAGACCCCACTTGGACTCAGACATTGGTATCCCTTCAAATTAACTCAGTTGTCTGGAGATGTGTTCAAGAAGTGAAGCAGTTTGACTTTAAAAACCTGGTCTTTAGCAGCTGATTTGTGCCAGCAGTCACTGTAGCTTAGCTTAGCATGTTGTCATCTAACACCAGGTTCTACAGTATAAGAAGAAGTGTGGAGAACTTGAGGCACAAAACTCCCAATTCAAATCTGAAAGTCAGCAGGTAAAAAGATCTGTAAGTAGAAAATGCCTTGCTCAGCTTTTGGAAAAAAATTTGAAGGAGAATTTTACTGCTTTATGTTCCAAATGGGTCACTTTTGTTGATGAAGATATTCCGAGACCCTCAATCTTTTATTTGTTACAAAGTAATGGAATTTGTTGAGCACATCTTTTTATGAAAAATGTATTTTTCTGGGAATCATATGACCTTTTTTGCTTAGATGTTTTTTGATCATTGTTATTTGTTGTTATTTTTTAGACAATGTGTTATTTGCAGTGTGCACTTTTTTAACTGCCACAGTGTGTTGCACTTTTGTTATTTGTTTCATCACAAAAAATTACATTGTACTTCAAGTTATTTCCATTCACTTGTATATATATATGTTTTGAGGTTATTAACTTCTTCAGCTCATAATTGTTGATAACAGACTGGCATTTTAAGCTTTCTACCCTTCCTTCATGTAAAATGTCAATTTCTAGGTCACATGTAAAAATATGACAGCCAAAGCTCTGATAGACAAATTCACATTTTGTAGAATTATGTGCACCAAGAAAAAATAAAATGAAACTATTTTAGATATGCATTTCACACAATTAATGCTTAAGTTTTTTTTTTTTTTTTTTTTTTTTTTTTTTTTTCAAATTGGGGCATAAGTCATACCTTTCGGAAATCAAAATGCCCCCTTAACCTTCCCCCTCTCAGAGTCAAAATGACCACCACCCTACCCACCCACCCCTTAAAAAAAGAAAAGAAAAAATAAAGAAATACTGCAGCAGATCTTATTGACAACAGAATTCTAAATGATGGTGATAACTTCCCTACCCTAATGCCCTATCCTAATCTTCCTTAAATCCATCATACCAACTGTAAAAGCACTCAGTCATGCAGTCTTCAATTATAACTCAAACAAGTAATGACTTGAAATCACATATTTGTAATCAACAGAATTAAGTTCAATTAAGCCCAAGGTTTAAATAGATTGACTGATTTCATGCTGCGCTAGGTGGTCATTGAAGAAATATGAGTTCATTTAGTCTGCCATCTTTGATTTATTTTTACCTGTCCATAATGATGAAGATTGATTGTGATCAATGATCTCCAGGTATACCAAATCTTTTTATTACCTGCCTGAGGTAACGCATTATTTTGTATTTTGACATAATAAAAGAATGTGTCTTATCGGTGATGCATAGAAATTATCTTAAATTTTGTTTTAAGATTTACCTTTCTATTCTGCTGCCAAAGATACATAAACCACAATAATAAACAAAAGGGCACCGACCAGATAATTTGGTCAGAAGCCATATGACAAAGTAAATGTTTTGTCAGCTGATAAACTTTTGAGTAAATGTTAGCTTCTAGACATTTAAATCCCATTTTTATTAAACACAGAGCCTGGATTCAGAGTAAAGCTTCAAATTTGATATCCTTCTAGGGCATCCTATTTAATAAAGTCACCTCTTCTAGGGCATCTTATTTACCAGAGTCACCTGCACTGGTATTCTCTTCAGGTCTTCTTTGTCAGAAGAAGAGCTGCTTCACTGACCCAAAATATACAAATGTTGTGCTGTGAATTACAAGGTTCAAATTTACGCCAATTACATGTGCATGCTGTAGCTAACTAAGACAGTGACCCCACATTATTTTCAAATATGCTGCAAACATGGTTAAGTATTCCAAAAAGAGGATAAAATAATTTGCAATTAAAAGTGTTTTTCCTCTCATGTGCAGATCAAGAGGTTTCTAGGAAATCAATTTCCTGTAATTCTCTTCCCAGGAAAATCTTGGTGCATGAGTAGTGTAATGCATCTCCCCTGAAAGTTAATCAATGTGTCGAGTAATTAAGTGATACATGCTGGTACCTGGATGGTTAAATCTGAATTCAGCTTCTAGTGATTGATCAGAAGTTAGTGACTGGTTGCTTTTTTTATCGTGGTTCAAGTTGCAAACTCTTTCCAGGAGATTAGAGAGAAAGTTCAAATGACAAATTAGCCCCTTAATAAAAATCTGTATCATTTCACAAAAAAAAGTAAAAAACCTGAAATTTACAGTAATTGGTTCATACAAATTTATATGTTATTTATGAGGGTAAAATAGTAAAAAATTTTTTAAAAAAACTGGAAGTAAGATGTCTGGACCCTACTTGAATAATGCATAATCCTCAGACACAACCTATGATTATCAAAACTCTTGTTTTGTAATCCTCAGAATTCCTTATCCTCAGAACTTGTAGTCCTCCCATTGTAACACTTCTATATTATCCTACAGTTCCTCCCATTGTAACACTTCTGTATTATCCTACAGTTCCTCCCATTGTAACACTTCTATATTATCCTACAGTTCCTCCCATTGTAACACTTCTGTATTATCCTACAGTTCCTCCCATTGTAACACTTCTGTATTATCCTACAGTTCCTCCCATTGTAACACTTCTATATTATCCTACAGTTGCAGAGTACACAAGACGTCCTTCAGAGCCGCCTGGAGACCACAGAAGCCAGACTACGCATGGCGGAGGAAGACGCCAGCATGGACCTGGAGACAGCTCTTATTAAGCTGGAGGAAGAGCAGCAGAGGTGCGTGTGTGTGTGCGCGTGTTAGCTTGACTGTGTACGAGAGCGTGCATGCACATGTTGATGCAGATGAGTCTGTGGATGCCTGTATATGCAGTGTGTATAATTTTATATGGAATGTCTAAAAAATTTTTCTGTCATTCAATTTTGCTCTTGTTAAACACAGGTCAAACACATTAGATTTGAATTTCCTTCCATTTTCTCTTTTGAAAATAGATACAAGAGATCAATGAAGTTCATTGCTTATTAGAATTGGAAAATAGAGTCGTTAGTAGTGTCACTGGTAATGTGTAGCAGGTAGAACCCTGGAAAGCGGAATACATAGTTAAATATATGGCTAATGATGCCATTATTTTAGACAGGGCACATGATTTAATGACTTACAACTTTAGGATCTTAATGGCTAAACTTTTTCATTTTTGGATACAAGATATTAAAGTACTATAAGATATCTACTGCAGATGCAGTCTTTTTCAGCACAATTCCACTAAGCCTGTTTCTCCTTCAGACTCCAAATTAATGTGTTGGTTTATTTATTTTCAATGCACAGGAGCTCCAGCCTTGCTCATGTGAACTCCATGCTCCGTGAGCAGCTTGACCAGGCCACATCAGCCAATCAGCAGCTGACTCAGGACATCCATCGCTTGACCACTGACTGGCAGCGTGCCAGAGAGGAGTTGGAGCAGAAGGAGTCAGAGTGGAGAGATGAGGAGCAGTCGTTCAACGAGTACTTCAGTGCTGAGCACAGCCGTCTGCTGTCTCTCTGGAGGGCTGTTGTCGCTTTCAGACGTCAGTTTGGAGAGATGAAGTCAGCCACAGAGCGCGATCTGTCTCACATTCGTGCTGACTTGACGCGCACTTCCCGTAGCATGCATTCTGCCTGTCTCAACCTCAGTGCCAACTTGAGGAGCATGGACACTCAGTCTCAGGTAGTTTTTCACCATTTATTTGTGTAAATTTCCAATGTTTGAACCTGTAATTGACCAATCCAGTTGCTAATGATATGTCAAATGATAGGTCTACACATTTCCAATGTTTTAAACTGTAAATGGCTAGTTCTGTTGTTAATGATCCATTAAATGATAGGTCTGCACATTTTGAACACTGGTAAATATTGTCTACCTGGTGTACTATAGAACATATTAACACAATAAAGAACAAGTCTACCCCCCCCCCCCCTTTTATTTAATAATTTATCTTTGCTAAAGTAAAGCCAACTTGGGAATGCTCTCTACATGAATTAATATATGAATGTCATGCACATGAACTGAAGCAATGCTCTGTATTTGTTGCAGGTATCTGCTGACAGGGATCGTAGTGACCGTAACGCCCTAGAGAACCAACTACGCGACAAGGTCCGCGAGGTGATGGAACTGCAGACCAAGTTTGACATTCACACCTCTGAGCTCAACTCCAAGTAAGTTCTCCACTTCTTAACCTGTTTTACTCATCTTTCATTTGGTTTACTGTGATATGTGCTCAGTGATATTTCCCCACTAGCTGTAAACATACACATTTAGTTTAAGAGATTGAAAAGAAAAGTGAGCATCAATTTTTCATTATGTGCAAATCCTTTTGTGAAAAATTGAAATAGATTTGAAGTCTAAAAGTGGGTCTAATTGTTAAATATGATGTACTTATTTCTTTGTAATTATGAGTTTTAATTTGCAGCATGAAAGAATCAAATTAATTTCAAGTATGTTAGTGTTGATCAATTTTAATATCTTATTTTTACATCTGAGTTAATCCAGACATTTGTTCACCCCAGGGTCAATGAACTTACCATGATGAATGAGAAACTGAAGATCCAGCTGATTGAGAAAGACAAGTCCATCAGCACACTTCAGGCTAACATGGACCGTGTGGATGCAGGGCGCATGGAGGCAGCACGTGAACGCGAGTCTATGGAGGTGGAGGCCTCACAGACCATGCGTGAGGAGACAGAAGCACTGCATGCAGCTCTGCGCGACATTGCACAGGCTGTGATAAGCGATGCTGACCAGTCCAAGCTGGAGGATGAAGGTGCAAGCACTGCTGAGCTGGCGAGGTCAATGTCCCCATCACGCTCACCTCGCATGCGCACTCGCACACGCTCTGCCTCTCCCAGTCGCTCACCTGCCTTCGCGGACTCCACATTCTCTGCTGTGCAGGCAGCGCTGAACAAACGTCAGTTGCAGGTGCAGGAAATGCGTGCCAAGTTTAACGCATCAAAGGACCAGAATGCAGCACTTCGCAAGCAGCTTGATGATACAGAGAATGAGCGCAGGCGCATTGAGAGACAGATGATGGAGTACAGAGAAGAGCTGGATAATGCGTAAGTGTTCTTATTGATTGTGACGTGTAATGTCAAGTTGTATTCTATTATTTTTACATGATTACACTTGTTTCCAACTTAATCTGGGTTCAATATCAAATATAAATCAATATCATAATTAGAATTGAGCATGTCCACTTTTTCACAATAAAAAGTATGTAAACTGACAATTTAACATGCTAAATTGAAAAGGTTCAATGTCATCAGCATTACTGTTACACTTTCTTAATTTTATTTTTTAGGCGCAGAGACAAAGAAGATTCATTCCGAGATCGTGACCGTTTCAAGAACCAGCTAGACCTGACTGGCAGCGAGAAGTCACAGCTTGAAAGAATGCGCCAGGCACTTAATGAACAAATTGAGGCCTTGAACACTGAAAATGAGAAACTCCAGGCAGCAAATTCTGAGATTCAGCGTCAGCGAGACAACATTGAGGACGAGAAAGATGATGTCATCAAGGATAAAGAACGTCAGATTAAGGAGAATGAGAGATGGTGAGTGTGTAATATTTTTATGGATGTTTTTTTTTTATTATTATTATTTCAATGAAATTACATGATAGAGCAGTATATTAACCATGTGCAGTTGTTATAATCGAGTTTATTATTATTATTATTATTATTATTATTATTATTATTATTATTATTATAAATTACTTCTTTCTTTTGTTGCAGCACTTCATTTTTACTGGTTATTCAAACTGAAAACCATATTTTACCTCTCAGGGAAGCTTTTTTATATAAAAGTCACATGAACGAGTTTATGTAACAGAGTGTACACGTTAAAGATGGCACTGTATTAAATACTTAATGTCTAGTCACAGTGTGTGAAATAAAAGAAGAACAATTTGTAAACCAAAGAATCTTATGAATCCCATATTTTATTCCACTAGCCACAAGGTAATAGAACAGCTGGAGATGAAACTGTCCAAACTCAGAGAGGACTTTGTGGAGACCAAAGAAACTCTGCACAAATCTCAACTAGACAAAGATGTACTGGAAAATGAGAAAGCTGAGATGGGTGAGTAACTGTCACACTTAACACAATCAGCACACTGTCACACCTAACACAATCAACACACTGTCACACCTAAAATAAACTTGATCTGTTTTGTTCTTTTACAGACAATCAATATATTTTATCTTTTTTTTCTGTCTATGATGAGTTCCTCTGTATTGTAGGCGAGGCCTTGTCAAAGGCTGAGCTTCGTATGGCAGAGCTGGAGCTAGCTGTGAACAAACTGAAGACAGAGGAGGCAGGCCTCCGCGATGCTCTGCTGAAAATGCAGGCTCTGAATGAAGGCTTGGGACAGGATAAGATTGAGCTGAACAAGATCATTATGCAGGTATAGTGTGTGCTTGTGTGTGTATGTGTGTGAGAGAGAGATGCATGAAAAGAGTTTGGAAATGTGATAGCTGTCACATGAAAATAGTTCAGAATACCAAAAAGCATTCTATACAGCTCCAGTAAGAATATCAGTAGTCTTTTGAATCAATCTTCCTTTATCTTCAGTGTTTACCAAATTTCATATTATATAGAAGAAGTGTTCCAAATGGCTATCATATGGTTTCCATAATGAGAGTTAGCAACAGTGCCTCATAGATTTACCTTATATCTCTAACAATGTTGTCTTCCACAGCTTGAGGCAGAGAAGGCCTCCTTGTTTGGAGAGAAGCATGCTATCATTGCTGAGAAGTCTGGAATTCAGGAAGAACTGGTCCGGGTGGAACAGGAGAAAATGGATCTGGACACTGAGAAACTCGGTAAAATAAAAATTCATTTAATTTTAAGTTTATGTATTAAAAAGTAAATCGAAGGATAAGATTAAAGAAAACTCTCAAGTCAGTGGCTAAAAGGATTCAGATCCAGTGGTAATGTCAGATGTGAATAAGAACTTATGCTGTTAATTCCCTTCAGACCCTTGGCAAGCAGCATTCAGCAAATGTAATTATATATCATAGATCATTATGTTTTGTAGTTTGTTTCTGTTGTCTGACCTGTTTTACTTCTGTTGTCTGCCCGTTTTATTTCTGTCGTCTTCCATTCAGGCCTAAACCAGACTGTGGAGATCCATGAGCAGACGGTAGAAAATCTTCAGGAGGAGATCACCATCTTGAATCGTGAGAAAGTGGAAATTACTGAGCAGCTTAACTCTGTGAGTGATTCTTATGTTACTCTGTAACTGTTCAAGTTTCTGGTGATTGTGCGTTTGTGGAAGGTGGTGATTGCATCTTGGGAGAACATCTTTTTTTTGCTCGGAAACTTTTTAGTCATAAGACATGACTTAATGTGGTATCATGCTACATAGATATCGAGTGAACAAAGGCAATAATTTACTAATGAAAGTGGTGTAATCATTTTATGTCTTTAAGACAAAGTTATTTCAGTCCTTTTACCCTTCTTGTCCCTTGCTGAAATTTGACTGTTGTTTCATTGTTAATTGTTCATGACTAAGTTGTTATAATGGTGAAAATGAAACCAGTAAAAACGCTTCTAACTCCAATGAATGATTTTCTGCCTCCAGGTGTCTCGTCAGAAGTCTGCTCTAGCTGAGGAACTTCTTCAGTCCAGGAAGGAGTGTGAGCGTCAGAGTGACACCGTTGTCCGCATCGCCAAGGAGAAGGAAGATCTGACCAAGGAAAAAGCCTCTCTCATCGTCCAGCTGACCAGCTCTGAGCGTGAGAACCGACAGCAGAGTGAGATCATTGCTGGGTTTAAGGCAGACAAGGAAAGTCTGGAAAATGCACTCTATGAGGCGCAGCAGCTCAACGCTCAGTTGGAGACCCGTAAGGAACAACTGGAGGGAGAGAATCAGGAGCTGATCCTGCGTAAAGAGGCCCTGCAAGGTAAACACTCCAGCACACAATATAAAATGTGATGATCTTACAGTTTTTTTATTCATTCCATAAAAATGAAATAAAACTGCATCCAATAATACTAGATTTTCAGAGAAATATTTCTTATATACCATTGTATGTTTTCCATCTTGCTATTTAGTATAGAATAACTTAAAAGAGTATTAGTAGTAATACCATTTGGTTGGCCAACATGTCAGATGTGGTAGCAGTTATGAAATAAAATATGTGTTAAACTTGTTCAATATTGTTTGCTTCTTTTACAGCTGAAATTGCACGTCTGCGCAAGGAGATGGAGCTTGAAATTGAGAAGCTTGAAAGACAGAAGGAGAGTATTACTGCCAAACTGGGGCAGACAGAGCGTGACCTCAATGTTTCTCTCACACAGGAAAAACAGGCTCATGAGGAAGATATAGAGAGACTTACCAGGGAGAAGGTGAGTTGGTTTGTCTTAGTAGGAGCCACATCTATAGAATCAAAAGACCAAAATAAAATAATCATTTTGGAAATTTTCTGTTTTTCAGAGTTTTATAGATAAATTGTCATCAGTACCTCACTAAATTGGTGAAGTAAAAAAGAATTTTTTTCCCAGTTATAATTCCTGTCCAATACCTTTGTTACTAAAACAGACATTCATTTGTTATGAAAATAATAAACAAATTGCCAAATGTGATTTTCTGATTTTGTCTTCAAATTTCTTATTTCAACTTCAGGAAACCCAGAGAATAGAATATGAAGCCAATCGTGAAGAAATCCTCCACCATAATGCTATGGAGAAGGAAGAAATGATTGCAAGAGCTGAGAATGAAAAAGAGCAGCTCCAGCAGGAATTGGCAGCCATCCAGAGAGAGCGTGATGACTCCATGTTGTTTGCAGAGAATGAGAAGCAGCAGGTGAGATGTCATTTACTCTATAGGGGGCAGTGCCATACAAGATAAGATGTTGGCTGGTGTTACAATGTTCATATGCATTGTGATTTCTCAGCTTGAATGAAAAAATTTAATTAGAAGTTTCACAAACTGGTTATGAATTGACTCACTTGTGTATATCTAGTAAAAGGCTTATAAAATATATCTGAATATTTATTGGCCAATTAACTCTCTATTTATTTATAATTCTTCAATTGCCTATTTTTCCACAGGTAATATTTTGTATAATATCAAAATAACATTTGCTACAGGTCTTGTCTCTGATGGAACAAGAAAAGTCAACTCTGGCAGAGAAGCTGAACAGCACCCAGAAGGACCTTCAGAGCCAGATTGTTGAGAATGAGCGCCTGAAGAGGGAGTCCATGTCCAGGCAGGAGTCTGATAAGAACTCTATCAACGGCCTGCAGGCAGAACTCAAGAAGTTCAGATCTCAGTTTGAAGAGGCTACGTAAGTATAGGTGGTGGTGTGGAGCAACATAAGCTACATGAGTAGAAATAATATACTTTCAGGGGCACTGCATTTGTGCCAAGAAGGCGAGAAGAAAAACTATAATATTAGAAAACCAACAATATTTAAATAAAACTAAAAAGGTTAGTTAAATAGGGGGAACTTTGGCAAGACAACTGTTGCATATCAGTGAAAATGAAATGTCTCAAAATGTCAATGAAAAAACTGAGATTGTTTACTTAATTGGGGGAAAAGGTGCAGGATTTTAAAGAATAATTTCCAGAGAAATTAAAGAATCTTAAGTTATAGGGGACTGATTTGTTATAGGCAAAAAAAAAAGGATTCAATGGAAAACAATGTGTGGAAAGAACATAATAAAGATCTGAGCAAAAAAAGTTGAAAAAGATAAAAAGGAAAACCATTTAAGCATAAAGTTATGGAAAAAGAAACCAGAGCTGTAAAGCCTTACACAAATTTTGCTATTTACAAAAAATTAAAGAACTTTTGTGACTTCTTATATGTGATATTGACAAAAAAAATCTATCATTTATTTAATAACGTACTTCTGAATTGTGTGTAATTATCATCTAGGAAGGTGTCAAAATTACCTGTCTCACCTGTTTAACACATAGCATTAGAAGGTGTTAAATTACAGAGGAAAGAACATAGTTTATCGAACAACTAAAGTAACACCTGGTGCCTTATCAGGTACCAAATCGGTTATCCAACAAGCAGTCTGCATGTCAGTTTTACCTGTATACATGGTAGGTACAAGTGCATTTTGTATTTTAAAGAACTCTGAAGGTAAAGTCTCTCATCACTAAAGAGATTGCAGCCAGGGCTTGGAAGCTTAGGTTTAGTCTGTTCCTGTCGTGCGCACTTCATTTCTCTGAAAGATGAAAAAGGCCTATAGAGATTGTACATTTGTATTACTCAAAAAAATTCAGAGATTAATTATTTCACTAATTTTGTACATTCTAGAGTTGCTCAAGACAGAGAGCTGAAGGATCTCAACGGTCGTATGCAGGAGTTGCAACGCCAGAAAGAGCAAGCATTACGTGAGGTGGCTGAACTCAAAGTACAACTAAAGATGGTGGAAGAAACACGTGACACAATTAGACGTGACCTTATTGAAGCTAACCGTAAAATTCGGGAAGGTTTGTGACCTTTTTATTTTGAACAGAATTGTCAACGACTAGTTTCATGTAAAAGTTATCTGTGACTGGACTGATGTATGTGCTGCAGTCAAACATTACAGTTTGAGAAATATGAATATTAGATATTTGTTTATCAAATAAATATTTGAATTCATGAAAATTATAGAGTTTCACAAAAGCTCATTCAAGAGGTAGATGTTATTCTTTGTGTCCATTTTTTATAGCTGATGAAACCAAAGAACTGATGCGTAAAGAAATTGGTGATCTCAAACGTAGTGTGAACGATGAGGTGCGTGAAAAAGAGGCAGTCCAGAAAGCCAATGAGGAGCTGCGTAACAAGATCAAGAGGGCTGAAGGTGAAAAGATAGAGCTGAGTCGTAATCTGCAGGAGGCCAAGCAGAGAATTGGAAGTAAGTGCTGGTGTGGAGATGATATATGTATAATTGAGGTGCAATTTAGATGAAAAATTGTATATATTTCATTGACAATATTTATTTTATTATTGCAATCACAATCATTGCAGTAACCAAAGTTTTAGTAAGACTTGATGAACAAGATGTCAGATATTAAATATATGATGATATAAATAAGTTATTTTGCTCTGAAGAGTTAAATAATTCTTTACATTGCTATATGTTAGTAAAACAAAGATCAAAGATGAGTTCAGTTCATTTCAAATAAAAATCTATAAAAGTTTGGCGTAACTCTCAAGTTCACAACCCCAATTTAACACCATTTTTAGTTCTGGAGGAGCAGAAGACTGGAGTCCAAAAGGAGGCCTCGGACCTTCGTGCCAGTCTCCGTGAAGTAGAGAAGGCTCGTCTGGACGCACGTCGTGAGCTGCAGGAGCTTCGTCGTCAGGTGAAGATGTTGGACAGTGAGAGAAGTAAGCTAGGGAAGGAGGTGGGTGATCTCCAGAACCGTGTGGCCAGAGATGAGGAGAAAGAAGAGGAATCCAGGAGAGAGCAGTATGGACTGAAGCAGAAGGTACAATACTCATTTTTCATTGGCTAGACACACAGCCTATTAAAACAGAGATATTATATGCTGTACCTGAACACTGTACTGTATTGAAGTTTGGATTACTCTTTTTTTACAGTAGAAACTGAAAACAAAAGATTGAGAACCATATTGTAGTTGACGAGTTTATTGCTGGTCACAAGTAGTAGATATTTTTCACAGTGAAATGCCTTCCCTTAAATTTATCTTAATGTGATATATGATATAATGAAAAATTTGATTTTTTATTCCTTTTGTTGTATTTCTTTCCATAAACAGGTTGTTGAGACTGAAGCCAGCCGTGAGGCTCTTCGCAAAGAGCTTGCTAATCTTCAGCGTCGTTATGCTGAACTTGAGGACGAGTCCCGCGTTAAGGAGAAGGACTACCAGATGGCACTGGAGGACAGTCGTCGCAATGAACGCAAACTGGAAGAGATACGTCGCAACCTTGAGACAAACCTTGAGGCATGCAACAATGAGATTGGAGAGCTGAAGCTGGCATTGAGCGGAGCAGAGGGACGTGTCAACGCCCTTGAGGCTCAGCTTGCCCGTGTCGAGGGGGCCAAACGCGACGTTGAGTTCAAACTGAGCAGCATTCATTCCACACTGAGACGTACAATTGGTTTCCGCCAAGACATGCCCAGATCTCCAAGTCCAACCATGCGTGCACGTAGTCCGAGCCCACGACGCACACGTCCTACATCTCCAGCTAAAGGTAGGTTTTTGCTTTCAAAATCATAAAGTGATCAGCATGATTGCAACTTTTTATTATTTATATATACATAATATGGCTTATATTATGCTTCTTTACTCCTTGCAGCATAGTTTGACCACAGTATTTGTTTTATATTGTAACCTCACTGGAATATTCAGCTTGCTGCAGCAGTTTTATTTATTTAAAATTCTCAAAAAAATTATAAATCACTTAACCAGAGAGAGGGACATGGGGTTTACCATCTACATCTGTATGTCTTTGTAGCCAAAAGTGATGAAAGTTTAGATCAGACTGTCCCCGAAAAAGGTACACTGGAGTTGAATGCATTTTTAGAAAGTCTTTTTACGAGTTGAAAAAAAATAATAGTGTATTTTTATTGAGTTGTTGCATTTTATGTTATTGTGTCTTTCTATTATAATTATTTTGAATGTGATTTATTTTTGGCATGTTTAATTTCTGATCAGAAATATTATTTATTTTGTTTATTTTTGTTGTTTTGTTTAGTATTTTAACTTTTACAATTGTAGTTGAACTGTTTATATAATTATGTGTCTGTTTTTATCATGTGACAGTCTGTTAAGGATTTTTAACATGATTTTTGTCTTGTTTTGAAGTGACATAATATTCAGGCAGATGTGAATATAAAAGTAATATTGTTTTTGATAAGATTTTCAGATAAAAAAGCAAGATTGTACAACCTAGTGAATGTATAAATTTAAATATGCTGTGATAAACCATACTACCAAACACAAATAATCTACAGTCAAATACGTCACATCTGTACACTTTCTTTCATCAGGCTTTGACAACACTTTCACAACCACAACTGATGGCCGAGGCAGTCCAATCGCTCGCACTGGCTCCCCAGACCGTGCTCGTAGCCCCACACGTCGTGAGCGTGATATGTCTCCATCCAGACTGGACCAATCTGTGTCCATCGCAGATATTGACCCTGAGGCTGTCCGTATTGCACTCCGAGACTTTGTTCAGCAGTTGGCTGGATCTGAGAGAGAAAGGGTGGGTGGTAGAAATGTTATTTTAAAAGATACAATTAAAATGCAGTAAAGTCAAAGAGTTCACTGGATAAGCAGATTATTAACTCTGTGTAGTGGAATTTTTAAACATGTGCTTTATGCATTGACTGAAAACTACATAAATTCTTCTTACAAGTATATGAAAATTTAAGAATGTTTTTTTTTTTTCTTTTTTTTTTCTTAATACATGTCAATCGTATTCTATTCTATTTAGGATGAATGCAGTAAACAAGTAAGCAAATGAGGAATTGTTCTCATAATATTCATTTCCAAATGTTTATTTTCTAACAGTATATTTATTTTGTTTACAAGATTGATTTATTACTCAAAAATATCACAACACAGTTTATTATTGGAGTTCTTTGGTTGGAATTACATGTTCAGAAAATTCAAAATTGATATTTAATAAAATATTTATTTCATCATTTGAGATTTGCTATGAACTATAGATCAGAAAAATCATTACAACCAAAATTAATTTTACAACCATTTGTTTGTATATTTGGGAAGTATACAAAATTTGTCTGTCATTTATGAAAAGATACTGTGACTAAAAGGTACTGATAATTTCTAGCCATACAAATTGAACATTAGATTTATCAGACATATGACAGAATTCAGGCACTTGTACAAGTATTTTCAGAATCTTTTAAAAGTCCACTGGCTTTTAACTCTACATACTACTTTTGCCACTAGCCTCCATTGTTAATATGTGATATGTAACCATGTCTTTTCTTATTAATAATCTGTAATATAATAAATATTGAACATATATCATTACCTCCAGGATGACTGTCTGTCCCAAGTGCGCAGTCTGTCCATGCAGCTGAAGGAGATGGAAGAGGACCGTGACAGAACAGAGGCCAGGCTACAACAGCTGCAGAAATCTCTGGGAGAGGCTGAGGAAGGTAAGAGAGAGAGAGAGAGAGAGCACCTAGGGACAACTCCAGCTGGCTACCTGTTAGTTATTAAGCTAGCCATGTGAACATTTTTATTTTGAGATATTATTTGTAACAGTTTGGCAGAAATTAATTGGATATCAAAATTTGATTTTTTTTTTTTTTTTGGTTTGGCTAAAGTGAACAGAATGCAGAATTTGGTAAAATGTGTGAAGCAAACTCAAAAGACTTGATTAGATATATTAAAGAGCTCATTATTCTTTATTTCATAGAAATCTGTTTATGTGTTTCTCTTTTAACAAAATAATTTATTTATCAATCTGACTTATGAAACTTTGTATGTTTTAGACAAGAGAGGCATTGACAGTCGTCTAGCTAGTGCACAGACAGCACTCATGCTGCAAGAGGAGACAATCCGTCGTAATGAGCGTGAGCGCAAGACCATGGCAGAGAAAATCAACACACTGGAGCGTGGTCTGGCAGCCATGGAGTCTGAGAAGAGACAGCTACAGGTACGACCCACACTGCTGTAGTGACAGTTGAATGAATAATACAGTGGAAAAATTGTATAAACTGAAATATTTTCATTTATTTATTTTTTTGTTATTGTTTTTCTTTGAGTCTTATTTTGTGCAAAGGAAACCAAGCACAAAGACATAATTCTGAATTATACAAACAAACAAAAATAATGTTGATATCAAACATTTTCTACTTTTGAGTATATATATATATTAAGGTGTATCTGAGGAAAAAGTCTTTAGTAGTCTTTTTAAGAAGAGACAGGTTTCATTTAATCATAAGAGATCAAACTCATGCATTTTCTTCACACAGGAAAGAGTTGGCAAGATGAAGCAGAATGAGGCTAAGTTGGAGGAGGACAAGAAGCAGCTGCGTATGGCTCTGGATGACTCTGAACAGCGCTGCACCAAGACAGAGCTGGCCAAGCGGTCCATGGAGGGTGACCTTCAGAGACTGAAACTTGCCATGAATGACAAGGAGACAGAGAATCAGGTATGTCAGCTTAGACATGAATGACAAGGAAACAGAGAACCAGGTATGTCAGCTTAGACATGAATGACAAGGAAACAGAGAACCAGGTATGTCAGCTTAGACATGAATGACAAGGAAACAGAGAACCAGGTATGTCAGCTTAGACATGAATGACAAGGAGACAGAGAACCAGGTATGTCAGCTTAGACAGGGTAAACATGAACTGGAAGTGGACTTGACTTTTGTCATCGGATTGAACAAGATGGGACTGAAAGGAACTGGAATAGGGCCCGACTTTTATCATGAGATTGGATTGGTTGCAGAGGGACAATGGGTCCTCTTGTGGTGCCAGTAAACCCTCTTTTTTTTCACTCCAAAAATTCCCCTTATCTAAACACAGGTTAGAACAGGGAAACGCTAATAATAACCCATTCCTCTTTGCTAGTAAAAATAAAGATATGTGTGTTTTTGATGTCAACAAAACAGAGAAAAATGAGGTAATTTAAGATAAATATTGCAGGGTATCATTCACTTAATTTATTGTGAATGTATTGCTCTTCATTATATCCTGGTGGTTCTTCACAGATATATGAAATTTATGTATTATCCCAGTATTCATCAGACGTGTCAGCCCCTTACGGAGATAATTCATTTCATCAACAGGGAGCTCCACGTTAATCCCTTAATGACCCATTTCAAAGCCTGTTTAACTTAATTGATTTCTGCTGTGACAGGTGTAATTGGTTGTTAGGTAAAATATTCATGGTCCCCTTCTGAAAGGATCCATATGCTTATTGTGTATTTTCAGACTAAAATTGGGGCATTCCAAAGTACCTGCGTAACTTTGTAGACAGATGTATTGGGTTACGTATGGGCACACCTGACATTGTTGCTTTAGTCTTTATCATTGCACTGCTTTAATAGTGGCTTTGTTATTGCTGCCAGTTCATTTCAATGTCAAGGATTCTGTTTAAGTCATAAGTTAGTTAAAATGGCAGACATGAAGATGTTCCATGGAAAGAGTAGAGGTGGTTCATATCTGCTGGTCACAACAGGAGTGGCTAGGGTAGAAAATGTATTGGTCAGTTCAAAACTGGATTCTTTATCATTGGTCTGTCCGGTGAAAAATTATTATTTGAATATGCTATACAATGTTTCCTGTATTTTTATGAAAGGTTTACTAAATTTTTCCTAATATCTGACTTTATTTTTTTAATTTGCTATAAATGACAACTGAAGTTTAATGCATACTAATTATTTGTCAAGAAAGTCTTAAGCCTAGTTTTTGTACAGCATAGCTAAATATTATAGTTTAAAGTTTAACATTGCTGCTTAGCAGTCAAAAATAAGGCTTATTTGTTTAATACTGTATCTCCACAGCCCTCTGTTTGTGTATTTTGTAGGTCCTCCAGGAGCGTATAGATAACCTGACCCGTCAGATGCAGGACCTGGACAGCAAGTGTCAGTCTCTACAACTGACCATTGACCGTCTCAGTAACGCCCTGTCCAAGACTGAGGAGGAAGAGAGTGTCCAGAAAGATAAGGTAGGGGAATATGAATAAGATAGACAGATGTGTGAATAAGTAGAAATATAAAAGAAAGTGTAAAGAGAGATATAAAATGAGGAAATTTTCAAGGATATCAAATGAATATAAATATGTTAATATTGTGAAAAAATTTCAAAAATAAAAGATATTATAATGATAAACTGTAGTAATTGTATTATTAAAACTGAATAAATGTGTGCTTTAGTCAAGAATTTTACTAGTTGTAGGACAACAGTTCATCCAGCGCAGCACGCGCACAGGTGATGACATCAAGGACATCCGTAACATCCTCGACAGTTCGACAGTACTAGTTGTATTTATAATCAGTGTTTCATTTATAGAATACTAAGTCCAATGTCAGTTGTTGCTCTGCTTAGTGAGTCTATTGATCTTACAAAATTTTATTCTGATTTTTTTTTTTACTAGGTACAAGTTCTGAACATGTCCCTGTCGGAGCAGTCTGCCACTATTGCAGACCTGCAGGAACGCGTGCAGCAGCTACAACGTGCTCTCACCAGCAGTGAGCATGACAGGCGCGTGCTTCAGGAACGGCTGGACACCACAAGGTAGGAGCCAGTGACTTCAGTCAAATATTTCAAGGAAAAAATTCAGAAAATAGCACTACTCTTTAAATGGATCCTTTTGACAAAACTGATATATGTATATCAGCCAAACTTGGTAAATATTAATGAAAGTTTGCAGGGTGAATAATTAATGATGCAAGTCATATCCAAGATTGTGCCCAGTTTAACACCATTGTAGATGTCTTTCCACTTTCATTTAAATCAAAACAGCTGTAGATGTCACTGTTTTCAAGATGATCTCAATTCATGTTTTCAGGCAAGCCCAGAATGAGGCTAAGAAACAGAACCACAGCCTGATGGAGCGTGTGCAGGCAATCCAGAATGAGCTCTCAGACAGCGAAGTGCGCAGAAACGAACTGGAGGGGCAAGTCAGGCAGGCACATGGGGTAAGATACAAAACAGACAGTCAAGTATTCTAGACATACTAAATTTATGTGGTCTGTCACCATCTTTTGTTCTAACTACTTTCAAATGAAATATTGAGCAATTTATTATTATTAATCAAGCTACATTTATCTTACTTTCTTCAGAATGAAGGAAAAAATTATTACAGCAATGAACTGCCTGATAGTCAGTAATAATGTGTTGTCATGTTGATCTACAGATCATTGTGCAGAGACAAGAACAGGAGCAAGAATTGAACCAGCGCCTGCAGAAACTTGGCACTGAAAAGCAAGGCTTACAAGAACGCGTAGCCTCTCTCCAACGCCAGTATGCTCAGCTAGAAACTGACAAACGTGAGATCGAGCGTAACGTCATTCGCACAGAGAAGGACAAGTCCGCACTGAAGAAGACTCTGGACAAGGTGGAGCGCGAAAAGATGAAGACTGAAGAAGTTGCCTCACGCAGCATGACTGAGAAAGGAAGTATGGAAGGAACTCTGAAGCGACTGGAGGAAGAAAACATGGACCTTCAGCGCCAACTTCAGAGCATGCAGGCTCAGATGGCCGAGATGGAGCAGGCTCATTCTCAGAGGTAAAAACTTTCTATCACATTCATAATTACTGCTAAAATAAAGAATCTTTGCCACAACTCCCATGTGATTGTACAAGTCTCTATCCAAAAGCAAAAGTTGGACAGTCTCCACTGGAAATCAAAATATTATTTTATTCACCACAGGTTGATTGACTTGACCACGCGTCACCGCTCAGAAACGGAAATGGAGACTGAGCGTCTACGTTCTGCTCAACTCCAGGCAGAGCGGACACTTGAAGCTCGTGAGCGTGCACACAGACAGAGAGTGAAGGGTCTAGAAGAACAGGTAAAATTACAGAGGAATGGGACTATTTTCAATATCATGATATTAATTACAAAGAATGAATAGAAAAAATTAAAATTTTGCAATCCATTTTAGCTGATCAGAAATTGCAAAATGGAATTGTAGTTAAAACAGTCACCACATTTAAATAAACACTTTTTAAAATTTCTATCATATTGATGACACACTTCAACATCTTACGTCATAAGAAATTTAAATGTAGTTTTAATTCAGTTATTATTATTTGATAAGACCCAAAAGACTTTCAGATCAACTTTCACAACAAATTTACATATTGGGGGAAAAAGATTATGAATCTCATAACCATTTTCCACATTATCAGATCAACACACTGAAGGACCAGTTAGCCCAGGAGATGCGTAAACGTCAACAGTTCATCCAGCGCAGCACGCGCACAGGTGATGACATCAAGGACATCCGTAACATCCTGGACAGTTCTCTAGGCACAGTGGCACGTGACCCTGGGTTAGACACCCTTCTTCTGGACCATGAGACCAGTAAACTTGGGGACACTGTTGACCATCATAGCACCATCTCGCCGACAAGGCTGTCACCACGACGACGATCTCCCACACGCAGCACTTCACCAGTTAGGCTGGGTCGTGTCACGTCCACGCCTGCATCTCGTCACGCCAGCAGCAGCATACGCCGCACTCCTAGTACCTCAAGCCCCATGAGCTTCAAGAGGAAGTAACACTGCCAGACCTCTAGAGGGTTAAATATGCAACTAATAATTGACTGATGTATTGAACAGATTGAAGACTATTTCAGTGTTTTATTGTATTGTCATTTTATTTTTGTGCATATTCAGTTTAAGATGGGACCAACATTTTATTGCTGCATTTATTGATTAATAGATGTTTTTGCTGCTCAATAGGGGGCAGAGCTTATGAAAACCGTCCTAGAATCAGGTGACTTGTCACATCAAGGTGCTCTTTGCCCCGTGACCTTTGACCCAGTGACCTTGACCTGTCTTAATACTTCCACTGTATTCCAGTACCACTCACTACTGGAAGTTGTCAGCTTGTCCACTAGGTGGCGTATTTAGGTTAGAGCAACCTATTAAGAATACTCCAGGTGCCTTTATTTTAAATGGAGTCCAGGCAGCCTTGGTTTTCTACAAATACTTCCATAATAACATACACTGCCAGTGCTTTCTGCTCAAACTGAAAGTGAAAGCTCTTTGTGATGGCGACACTGCACAAGAAGAGCCATTCCAAAGCCAGTGAAGTATAAAGATTTGTACATGATGGTCACTGATTCTTTTTATTATATGTATGTCCCTTTGTTTATTTTTATGCTCACTTTATATGTGTTCTTGCAGATGTCTTCTTATATTGCTATGATAGCTTTTTGATGTGAAAGTGCTGTAGACTGTTTGACAGTAGAATATGGATTAGAATTAGCAGGACAAAGATCCAGGAATCAATTATGACTGTAATCTTAACACACTTAAATGTTGTATGATGTACAAACCAGGTCACAAACCAGTCACATGATAGTCACATGATAGTTATATTCATCTCAACTATTACATATCTTATTTGATGTGCTCAGTCTTCTGAGTTTGTCTCACCGGCCATTCCCATAGCCAATCATGTACAAAGTTATGACAGTATTATGATTGATATGATAGAGTTGGATGCTTATAGTCCTGGAAAAGTCAGAGGAGACACAAGTATATAAACCTATCTATTATAACTGGTGGAAAAACTCACTCCCTGAGGACCATGGCAGTCTAACCGTTTTCACTCCTGTTTCCTCTGACTTCTCCAGTGCTGTGTAGATGCAGAGTTAGAAAACTGTGTTTATGTGTAACTCCATTCTTCACATTTTGACCTATATAAAACTGGCATCTGCCTAGTTGTTGGTTACCATGTAAACTATAAAAAGTAGGTCACTGTGACCTATTTGACAGTATACAGGCCAATGCAACCTTTTCATAGTTCATAGGTCACCGTGACCTATTTGATGAGTGATTCAGCAGAAGAAATGGGTTATACATAGGCAGAGTTTTTCAGATGGCTTCATAAATTGCAAGACAGTAAGGTTTAATATATTGAGTTGTGATTCTTTTTTAAATGTGAACATATATAACATAGAAGTAAATTCAGTATAAGATAATTTATTGCCAGTTGGTCTCTTTTCTAGGGTAAAACATCAATCGATGAGGGAATCAAATATTTTTTCTGTATTGGAATATTATTCTTAATTATAATTTGAGCTCAATTTATCCAGGATTGTTGAATTCATTTACTTGACAAGATATAAAAACAAAGATTATCAATTGCTGTGTGCAGCAAATTTTCCATTTTGTTCTTTGCTGTAGATTTTTTATGGTCACAATGTTTTGGAGAACCCTGTAGGCTTTCTATTAGAAGTGTCACAATATTTGTTACACCCTGTTACGGGAGAAATGTTTCATGCACATATAGAGAAATAAAGTGTGTATTTGCCATTATATATAAATGTTGTTATTGCCTCACTGCTAAGTTCATAACAGCAGAAATTTTACCTGATATCTTGAGACATTTTAAATATTCTGGATGACAAAAATGAAAAAAAAAAATTTGATATTCGTCAGAGGTAGCTTAAGCAAATAAAAAGTTAGATTGAGCTTGAGTTTTAAATCCGTGAAAATAAGTATAACCCAATACCTTTTGCTTTTCTATAACAGTACATTTTATAATAAAAATTAACCATAAGCTCAAATAAGTTTTTTGGAATTTGATCATTTTTTGCACAAACAAGGTGTCTTCATGACACCTAAAATTTACCCTTTTTAAAACATCTGTCACTTATGACATTAAAGTTACAAGTGATGTCAAGAAAAGCTGCCATGTATATAATTTCAATAAAATATAAAATTATTCATTCTTTCCTCAAGGTTCTTCAGGCAGCTCCACCAGTGCACTGTTATCAACAGGTTTTTCTTCCTTCTTTATCTGGCCTTAACAAAGAAAAAAGCATGACAAATGGAAGTTTGATACTTAATTCAAGCAATGTTATTTACTAAAATCCTTTTAGTTATCAACCAATTGGAAGTAAAATCAGATAAAGCTGATTCCAAAATCCCGGACAAAGAGCTATGGTCACATCAAAGCATTCTTTTTCAAGAGGAACCAAAAAAAGAGAAATCTTCAATGTATGTAAAAAAAAATTGGACTGTTTACATGTAACCTTTTGATATCACTGCACCTCTAAGCTCCATGTTCAAGTAACTCAAATGTTTTATGATAAACAATGAGCAACTTCTCATGGGAGCTCACCTCTTTTTGCAGCAGCAGCAAATACTTTCCGTTTTCCTTCACTCCGCTCCTGATATAAAATTTATGTAAAAACTATCATAATATGTGTCAAACATTTCAGGTCATTTATGTTACATGAATCCAATATCGCCTTTTCAGACTCAAAAATTCTGAAGTAATTAACCAATGAGAAATCAATGGAATATGTCATACAAAATATCAATATCATATAATATCAAATATAAATGTACCAATACTACAAATCAAAGAGGATGATTAAAGAGTCTTAAATCTTCAAGAAAAGTAGAAAAGTTCATCTATACCTAAGGTTACAATAAATACATAAATCCTCACACTTACAAAATGGAGCTGCATTCTCAAGTCTGCTATGACATCTCTGTAAGAGGACGCCTGTGCACGGTAATACAGGATAACTAGTCTGAAATATATATCAGGATAATAGTCCACGGTAATATAGGTGACTAGTCTGAAATATACATCAGGATAATAGTCCACGGTAATATAGGATAACTAGTCTGAAATATATATCAGGATAATAGTCCATGGTAATATAGGATAACTAGTCTGAAATATACATCAGGATAATAGTCCACGGTAATACAGGATCAAAATAAACAAAGGTACCATAGGATTGCAAGTCTGGAACATACATGCTTTTTTCTTGGCAATAATATACAATAAGTCAAGTAGTTAGCTATTCACAGTGTCAATGAACAGAGAAAATTCCTGACGACTAAGTCAAGGCAAACTTTAGAACAACAGATGCACATGATGGCCATATGTAGACGCATGCAAAATAAAAAAGTACACTGAAATCTATGAGCCTGCTCTGTAGGACTTATATCAGGATGATAATCATGGGGACAAACACAGCAGGAGTGAGAATAATGTTGATGGCTTTATGTACAGGGTCAGACACACTATGTCTGTATATAGAAATAAAAAATACACACTGAAATCTGTTGTGTGACTGTCCTGTAGAACTTACATCAGGATGATAATCACAGGGACAAACACAGCAGGACTGAGGATGATGTTGATGGTGTCTTGCAGCCAGGTGGGTAACACCCCTATCTCTTGTAACAGTACATCATACACATGGTCCAGGGCCCTGAATGGACCACAGTCTCTGGATGGAGGGATTCTAGAATAGATGAACATGGTATGAGAGAGAGAGAGAGAGAGAGAGAGAGAGAGAGAGAGAGAGAGAGAGAGAGAGAGAGAGAGAGAGTTTGCATAATTATCCTACTTAACACCCATTTCATTAAATCAAAGCAAAGCCAAGTTATGTGAAAAGTAAATACAATGCCAATTAATCAAATAAGGAATATATTTGAATAACACTTTTATCATAATCGCCATGGACTTTTGATGGAGGACCTCCTTTACTTGTAACTTGTAAAAACTTGCTTTATTGAGAAATAAAATATGCATGCAACACCAGCAAATGACCTGGAGCTCAATTGCACGTGGAAACCGTCAGCAGCCACAGCAGCCACAAGCCCCTGAACAAGCCCCTGGACCAACCCCACCACAAGGAGCACCCAGCAATGTAAGGACACACTCAAAAATGTTAATTATAGGAGACTCAATGATGCGCAATGTAAGCAACAAAATTCAGGCAGAAAATACTCAGATCCATGCCACAACATATCTCCACTCAGGTGCTACCTTAGAAAAAATTACAAACAGAGTATCTAAATACAAAAAAACCAACGAAATACCCGATCATGTTGTCCTCCATGCAGGAACAAACAATATTGAATTGGACAATATTCAATACATGGTAAACCAAACTTGAAACCTTATACAGGTAACAAAAGAAAAGTATCCNATGCTTTATCCCTTGTCTTTCTATCATATGTGCAAATTTTTTCATATTTTAGCCATAAACAAGAATAACAACTGTAACAATTACAATAATTTTTCAAGCCATCTGCAACATCATGTTTGAGATGTAAAAATACAATGCCCATATCAATACAATACATACACTATAACAGCCAGGGCCACAGGTATCAAACACAATAACAATGTTGTCAACAACAGAGCCAGGTAAAAATTTCCAGATCTGGACGCCCGGAACATCTTCTGTGGAGGGACATTGGTCAGTTTAGCCATGTAGTAGCGGTAATAGAACAAGATGACCAGTTTGACCACGGCTATGAGAGGAAGGAGTGGAGAGAAGTACAAACCCAGCCAAATAAGTCCCTGACCATAGATGAGCTCCAGAACGCTGGTTGCTATGCTGAATTCTCCATAACCAAGCTGAAGTAAGTAGACTGTGTTAGTTTTGACACTGAGCTACAGCTGAGATTGTTTGGATGGCAATTTTACTAACAAGTCATAGGGTAATATAAAGTACTATACTTAGTGAAATACTGTTGCAGAACCAGAAGAATTATTCTCTATATCTAAGATATGTTTTATTCATACAAGACCCCCTCAAATCTTTACCTTCTGGGTAAGACCAAGACATTTGACCAGGCAAGCTCTGAGAGCATCAGTCCCTAAAACTGCCAGAATACTGGCTGCAATATCCAGTAACACCACCTTGAAAATCTCCTCTCCAACTACTGTCTCCCAGCAACAGAGACTGTCATTGCCAGTGGTGACATCTACAGGAGAGGTGCTTGAAGATGTGTCCTGTGCAGTGAAAGATATATGATAATTGTCAGCATTAGAACTAATTTCATATTTTACAAAAAAATCATTCAGTACTTTAATAACACTGAATGATATAACAACTTAATCCAATTCAAAAGTTTTACATAAGCATTATCANTGTGTTGTGGGTGGCAGAGTGACACTAAGTAAAATGTGACACTGTGCTACATATGACAGTGAGTGTAATAGTGTGTTGTGGGTGGCAGAGTGACACTAAGTAAAATGTGACACTGTGCTACATATGACAGTGAGTGTAATAGTGTGTTGTGGGTGGCAGAGTGACACTAAGTAAAATGTGACACTGTGCTACATATGACAGTGAGTGTAATAGTGTGTTGTGGGTGGCAGAGTGACACTAAGTAAAATGTGACACTGTGCTACATATGACAGTGAGTGTAATAGTGTGTTGTGGGTGGCAGAGTGACACTAAGTAAAATGTGACACTGTGCTACATATGACAGTGAGTGTAATAGTGTGTTGTGGGTGGCAGAGTGACACTAAGTAAAATGTGACACTGTGCTACATATGACAGTGAGTGTAATAGTGTGTTGTGGGTGGCAGAGTGACACTAAGTAAAATGTGACACTGTGCTACATATGACAGTGAGTGTAATAGTGTGTTGTGGGTGGCAGAGTGACACTAAGTAAAATGTGACACTGTGCTACATATGACAGTGAGTGTAATAGTGTGTTGTGGGTGGCAGAGTGACACTAAGTAAAATGTGACACTGTGCTACATATGACAGTGAGTGTAATAGTGTGTTGTGGGTGGCAGAGTGACACTAAGTAAAATGTGACACTGTGCTACATATGACAGTGAGTGTAATAGTGTGTTGTGGGTGGCAGAGTGACACTAAGTAAAATGTGACACTGTGCTACATATGACAGTGAGTGTAATAGTGTGTTGTGGGTGGCAGAGTGACACTAAGTAAAATGTGACACTGTGCTACATATGACAGTGAGTGTAATAGTGTGTTGTGGGTGGCAGAGTGACACTAAGTAAAATGTGACACTGTGCTACATATGACAGTGAGTGTAATAGTGTGTTGTGGGTGGCAGAGTGACACTAAGTAAAATGTGACACTGTGCTACATATGACAGTGAGTGTAATAGTGTGTTGTGGGTGGCAGAGTGACACTAAGTAAAATGTGACACTGTGCTACATATGACAGTGAGTGTAATAGTGTGTTGTGGGTGGCAGAGTGACACTAAGTAAAATGTGACACTGTGCTACATATGACAGTGAGTGTAATAGTGTGTTGTGGGTGGCAGAGTGACACTAAGTAAAATGTGACACTGTGCTACATATGACAGTGAGTGTAATAGTGTGTTGTGGGTGGCAGAGTGACACTAAGTAAAATGTGACACTGTGCTACATATGACAGTGAGTGTAATAGTGTGTTGTGGGTGGCAGAGTGACACTAAGTAAAATGTGACACTGTGCTACATATGACAGTGAGTGTAATAGTGTGTTGTGGGTGGCAGAGTGACACTAAGTAAAATGTGACACTGTGCTACATATGACAGTGAGTGTAATAGTGTGTTGTGGGTGGCAGAGTGACACTAAGTAAAATGTGACACTGTGCTACATATGACAGTGAGTGTAATAGTGTGTTGTGGGTGGCAGAGTGACACTAAGTAAAATGTGACACTGTGCTACATATGACAGTGAGTGTAATAGTGTGTTGTGGGTGGCAGAGTGACACTAAGTAAAATGTGACACTGTGCTACATATGACAGTGAGTGTAATAGTGTGTTGTGGGTGGCAGAGTGACACTAAGTAAAATGTGACACTGTGCTACATATGACAGTGAGTGTAATAGTGTGTTGTGGGTGGCAGAGTGACACTAAGTAAAATGTGACACTGTGCTACATATGACAGTGAGTGTAATAGTGTGTTGTGGGTGGCAGAGTGACACTAAGTAAAATGTGACACTGTGCTACATATGACAGTGAGTGTAATAGTGTGTTGTGGGTGGCAGAGTGACACTAAGTAAAATGTGACACTGTGCTACATATGACAGTGAGTGTAATAGTGTGTTGTGGGTGGCAGAGTGACACTAAGTAAAATGTGACACTGTGCTACATATGACAGTGAGTGTAATAGTGTGTTGTGGGTGGCAGAGTGACACTAAGTAAAATGTGACACTGTGCTACATATGACAGTGAGTGTAATAGTGTGTTGTGGGTGGCAGAGTGACACTAAGTAAAATGTGACACTGTGCTACATATGACAGTGAGTGTAATAGTGTGTTGTGGGTGGCAGAGTGACACTAAGTAAAATGTGACACTGTGCTACATATGACAGTGAGTCAAAAGTAGCAATGTTTTTTACATGACAGTGTACTTAACAACCCAAACCTTCCAAAATGACACCTACCTTGAAGTCTGTTCTGATGGCAGAGATCTTTTCCTTCACCCCTTCCCTGGTGGTGACAGAGTGGTCCCAGGAACAGAATAACCTCCAGGAGAAAGGATAATCTTCTGTGGTCCCAGTCTTCTTAGTCTTCTTGTATTTCACTGACATCCTACAATTATATATAAATAGTGTATAAATACTGGCTAAGAATGTGTGTACCATGCAGTATAATTATAAGAAACATCTCTCTGAGAAAACATAATTCTAATACATAGATCCCATATATTAAAAACCAGAGTACATTGCTGAAACATGATATAAGGCATTGCAAGTAATGGCTTTAGATAATATATGCTGGTCGTGAAGACTGCATGCTGAAGAAATCTCTATGCATATCTGATTCTATAGGTATCTAATCTATTAAAACGTGAAATGTAACCCAGAATGCAATCAGATCAACTACCTGTATGGGAACTCTTGCTGAATGCAATCAGATCAACTACCTGTATGTGAACTCTTGCTGAATGCAATCAGATCAACTACCTGTATGGGAACTCTTGCTGAATGCAGTCAGATCAACTGCCTGTATGGGAACTCTTGCTGAATGCAGTCAGATCAACTACCTGTATGGGAACTCTTGCTGAATGCAATCAGATCAACTACCTGTATGGGAACTCTTGCTGAATGCAATCAGTTCAACAGACTAAAATACCTCCTCTTGGTGTAGAGTAGAAAACAAAAAAGTTAAGGATTATATTAGTACATTGGAAACAAGGAGGGATAGTAGTCGGTTAATTTTATTGCATTTAGCGAGAGTCCGTCTGAAGTTAGTGCCCAGTAGCTAGTACAATGGATATTAAGGGAGGAATATTAATTGGTTAATCTGATTGCATTTAGCAAGAGTCCGTGTGAATTCAGTGCCCAGTAGCTAGTACAATGGATTCATTTTGTATGCATCCTAGGTCACATGTTCCTTTATATAAATGTGCATTTTCCTCAACTTCCTAAACTGACACTTTTCTCCCAATGTGTACATTTATATCTTACCTCATCACAATGGATATGACACAGTACAAAATAACAACCAGGTTGGTCATGAAATAGGCCAGAGGAAGCATGTAGTCTGCACTGCCAACATAGCGACTGCTGTCATAGAAACCATAGAAGAAGATGGTATTCTGGACAAAATCCTAGAAAAAGATCAAATTAACCAAATAACCTGTGTGTGTGTGTGTGTGTGTGTGTGTGTGTGTGTGTGTGCGTGTGTGTGTGTGTGTGTGTGAAATGGCACTTAATTCAGTTCCCTATAAATTATGATATTGTCTGAGAGGAGTGATCATTTAGAGAGTGGGACAATTAAAAAGATATCCTCGTTCTTTGCAAGTGGGACAATTAAAAAGAAATACTGGAACTGTGTTAGACATTTAAGATCCAAAGTTGGATGTGACAGTGCTTAAAAAGAGCCAGATAAAAGGTATTATCTTGGACACCAATGTCACATAATGAATGATCATTTTAGACAATATCATGCAATGTATGTAATCCAATGAATAAAAGCTTTACCATTGATTCTAAAACCACTTAAATACTATACGCATGCATGACTCAGTATCAAATAAAGCTTGGACATACCAAACCAAATGTTGCATTCAGAACAGTGCCATCTCCAATGAGAACCTGTAATGTAGATGTATATTTTTCAGTAAAGGGTGCAGCACACAAAACAGTAATGTAACTTTGTTTCATTCAATGTTGAAAATAAATAATTTAGTAGCTGATTGCAACTGTTATGCCCTGCACTATTATATTCATTCCATGACCATATACTAAGTATTTAAGTGTAAATTGGGTCTTGATAAATAAATGTGTTAGATGCAACGATGTTTAAGATGTGAAACCAAGTTAGGTTTGACAATGTGATAGATATGCCAGTGTGTTAGATGTGACAATGTGATAGATATGCCAGTGTGTTAGCTGTGACAATGTGATAGATGTGACGGTGTGTTAGATGTGACAATGTGATAGATGTGACAGTGTGTTAGATGTGACAATGTGATAGATGTGACAGTGTGTTAGCTGTGACAACATGATGGATGTGACAGTGTGTTAGCTGTAACACTGTATTGGGTGTGACAGTGTGTTTGTTGTGAAAGTGAGTTACATGTGACATGTTCGATATGACAATGAAATTGTGTCCAAAATCAAATTATGATATGAACATCTTACCTGGGGCAGAGATATAAAACAGAAAACCAACACTCCCATCACCAGGTTCAGCCAAAGCAAAGTTCTCAAAAAAACAAAATAGGACGACACACCAGTTCCAAAGTAGGCTAAAAATAAAGCGTGAGGCAGAGTTATACAAACAAGGCAGCAAAGCTGTCAAATGTACAGACAAAAAACAGAAAATAAAGATGCAAAAGAGGTCATTTTGTCAATTTTGATGCAATAATAAATAATGCTTATGATAGCACTATCAGTCAACACTGAATTTTAATCGTGCACAACAGGTAAAATGGTCAATAACATGAGCGGACCCAGAGATATTCTCTGACAGTATTCCAAAGTATCTATTTTGATCCATCCTCCATTTTGATGGTCTTCCAACAGAAGAAAAAATAGATACCAGGCAATATAAACTTAATAACCTGACTGTCTTCCGGAAGTCCCAGAAGATGGTCTCAATCTACCCTTTCAATAAGATTACAGTTTCAGGACCATGAGAGTTCAAATTCACATGATGAAAGTCTCAATATTTGAAAAATGATGACAGTGCATAAAATAATATTACATAAGTAACATAATGTT